TAAATCGTTTTAAAATAAATAAATTAATGCAACCGACACACCTGATGACGACCGTTTGTGTTATGGTCGAAACGTCGTGAGAATTTTTATTGTTTTATATATATTTTATTACTTTGTTTCCCTTCAACGCAACTTTACCGAAAGAGCTAAGAATATGAATTACTGCAGTCACGAAGGCTTTAAATCAAAAGATAACTCTATCCCGAGGGGCCACTTTAGCCAGCACCTGACAGGTCATAGAAGGCATCGGACTCATCGGCCTTGCCTGCATCCCTCCACGGATGTTCGTCTTCAGTGGGGGCATAAGTAACGACGACCACCACTCCTCACCTCCGGTTGATGGGAAGGCGAGCCCAAAGTAGCCTGGGGCTTACAGCTTCCCACACCTCACCGCCATGCTCCCACGCCCCCTTCATTATTTTGTTCAGAAGAAGAGCCACTCCCTGTTGTTTGGCAGTCTCCTGCCCCGAGCAGAGTACTGTCCACCCCTCATGGTGACAGGAGCCAGAACCGGTCCACCGGACCTCTTGAATGCCACCGAGATCCAAGCGGTACCAGTCCAGCTCCCAACAGAGGAGTGGCAGCCTCTACTCCGCAGTGAGCGTTCAAACATTCCATGTGGCCATCCGTAGTGGCTTGTCGTTGTTTCTGGAGGAACCCGAGGGTAAAGATTCAATTTCCTGGCTCCGCCAATTGGGGTTTGGCCAAGAGACGTCATAGACGCCTGGGCCCCCCGTGGCCTCCAGCACAAGCTTATTAGTTAGATATTTTAGTCGTGGTTTAGTGGTAAATTATTGAAGGTGGAGGGGTTATCAGGCCCTCGCACCCCTCCAGAGCCCCCATTTAGCCACTGTGGTGGTCACAGACACCATGAGGTGAGAGGCCAATCCGAATTGGCCCACCCCCCCCACAGCACTGTCCACACACACAGACACACAAACACACACACAGACACACACACATACGGCGCTCACTACCGCAGGGCCCACCGCACCGAGCTTTGTGTTTTTTTTATTTTGCGACTCCATTTTCGCGGTTTTCTCTCTCGCGCGCACAGTTGCGTTGCTGTCGTTCACGAAAGAAGAGGAAGAGAGGTTAAAATCGACGTGCAACGTAAAAACAAACATGAGGAACAGAACAAAGACAGCAAATTTGTGTGAAGAAAGTGAACATCGCTTTTTTGCCCCCCCCCCATCCACACCCCACCCCCTACCCAACCCCACCCACACCCCTACCCAACCCCACCTACCCCCTACCAAACACAACCCCACCGACACCTCTACCCAACCCCACCCCTACCCAACCCAACCCCACCGACACCTCTACCCAACCCCACCCACACCCCTACCCAACCCCACCTACACCCCTACCCAACCCCACCCCTACCCAACCCAACCCCACCGACACCTCTACCCAACCCCACTACTACCCAACCCCTACCCAACCCCACCGAGACCGTTACCCAACCCCACCGACACCCCTACCCAACCCCACCGACACCCCTACCCAACCCCACCGACACCCCTACCCAACCCCACCGACACCCCTACCCAACCCCACCGACACCCCTACCCAACCCCACCCACACCCCTACCCAACCCCACCCACACCCCTACCCAACCCCACCCACACCCCTACCCCACCCCACCCACACCCCTACCCCACCCACACCCCTACCCAAGCCCACCCACACCCCTACCCAACCCCCCCGACACCCCTACCCAACCCCACCCACACCCCTACCCAAGCCCACCCACACCCCTACCCAAGCCCACCCACACCCTATCCAAGCCCACCCCTACCCAACCCAACCCCACCGACACCCCTACCTAACCCCACCCACACCCCTCCCTACCCAACCCCACCCACACCCCTACCCAACCCCACCCAAGCCCACCCGCCAGCTACCCCACGCACCCCCAGTATCAAAGACAAAACCGCGTGTGCAATAGAACTCAAACTAAAAACTTTGCGCAAGCCAAACAACAATGGCGACGGCGGCGGTCGGGGTGCAGCGTTAAAAAAAATCCGCCGCCCTCGACCTGCGACCGGACCTTCGGGGGATGGGGAGTGCCACGGCGGAGCTCCCCACGAGGAGCCGCCCTCAGCGAGCCGAACCGACCGTTAAAAAGCAGCAGCGCCGGCGCGGAGAGCCGCAGCGTCGTCCTAACCATCGTGGAGGAGGCCTAGCAGGTCCGGGAGGGCCGAACGGTCCCGGAGGGGGCCTAGCCGTCCAGGAGGAGGGGGCCTAGCCGTCCAGGAGGAGGGGGCCTAGCCGTCCAGGAGGGGGCCTAGCTGTCCAGGAGGAGGGGGCCTAGCGTTCCAGGAGGAGGGGGCCTAGCCGTCCAGGAGGAGGGGGTCTAGCTGTCCAGGAGGAGGAGGCCTAGCGGTCCAGGAGGAGGGGGCCTAACTGTCCAGGAGGGGGCCTAGCTGTCCAGGAGGAGGAGGCCTAGCTGTCCAGGAGGAGGGGGCCTAGCGGTCCAGGAGCCACCTCGCCAAGTGATAGGCGCTGGGCGTGGCCAGGTTCCAGCCAATCGGCGCAGCCGCCACCGCTGCCACACCTTTGTGACGTCGCATGGCCCCGTTGCCACGGCAGCCGCTCGGCAAAGGCGCCAAGAGCAAATGAGGCGGGGGTGGGACGCTCCTCTGCTGGCGCCCGATTGGACGCACGCACCGCACCCCCCCCCCCTCTCCCACCCTGCCTGTACCCTGCCTGCACCCCAGCCGCCGCTCGTCGTCGTAAAGACATCGTAGCCCGAAGGGCGACAACCGCACGGCGGGGCAGCAGCGGATCAGCAACGGACCCCCCCCCCCCCAACCAACAACTCCCCGAGCGTTCCACCGCTTGGGAATCTTTCCGCCACTACGCAACGCCGAGGCAGGGCGGCTTGGCTGGCCGTGGTGGCAGCGGTGGCTGCCGAGAATTTTCGTGACCAATTGAATTTTTTAACAATTTTTCTTTTTTACTTTACTCTCTAGGGGGCCTAAGCTAGAGGTGGAAACTCCAGATTCCCTCGGGGGGGGGGGGGGGCGCCCAGTCCAGTCGCAGACTCATGAACCTGGGTGTAACCATGCGTGTTTGTCATGTTGGTCTAGTGCAGAACTCGAAAACACATCCAATGCTTCAGAGGAAGTTACCTGTACACCAATATACTAAGACCGTCGCTCTCTCAGGTGGGCTCATAATGACCGTGCATGACTTCCAACACCCAGGGTTCGGGTCCTGGGTCTGGGTGTCTCTCCCAGGGGGTTCATAATATACATGTTAAGAGATGCTGAGCGAGCACGGCCGAGATCCTAGATTCGAGTCTTGGGTATGGGTGTCTCTCTCAGGGGGGTTCATAATGGCCGTGCACGACTGCTGAGAACCTGGGTTCGAGTCTTGGGTATGGGTCTCTCAGGGGGGTTTCATAATGGCCGTGCACGACTGCTGAGAACCTGGGTTCGAGTCTTGGGTATGGGTGTCTCTCTCTCTCAGGGGGGTTCATAATGGCCGTGCACGACTGCTGAGAACCTGGGTTCGAGTCTTGAGTATGGGTCTCTCTCTCAGGGGGGTTCATAATGGCCGTGCACGACTGCTGAGAACCTGGGTTCGAGTCTTGGGTATGGGTCTCTCTCTCAGGGGGGTTCATAATGGCCGTGCACGACTGCTGAGAACCTGGGTTCGAGTCCTGAGTCTGAGTGTCTCTCTCTCTCTCACTGGGTTCACACAATGGCCGTGCAAGAAACACCTTAATCCCGGCAACGTCGCAACCAGCCTCCTCCTCCCGCCCCAAAACAACAAACCCGCGCTAACTCCCGACAACTAACACTAACGCCTAACCTACGGCGATCCACCAACCCCCAGCGATGGGGGGGGGGGGGAGGGCGGTGGGGGCAGAGCTTTACAACGAGAAACAACGAACGCGGAGGATAACAAAAACAACGAATAAAAGCAACGACAAAAGTTCTGGGGGACGAGTCGCCGGCGCTACGGAGATGGGAGGGGGGTGGGCGGCGGAGGGCGAAGGCACAATCTACAATAGCAGCAATTCCACCGGTCACGAGGGGCAGGGGGGCGGAGGGGGAAGGGAGTTGGGGCCGAGTCAACCTAGGGGGGAAGGGGGGAAGGGGGGAAGGGGAGACCCCCCCCCCCGCCCCCCGGCACGGGTGTTTTTGTGTTCCGCTGGCGCACATCCGAACCGAGCCAGCGCGGGGCCAGCACGGCACGGGTGGTTTTGTTTTCCACTGGCGTACATCCGAACCGAGCCAGCGCGGGGCCAGCACGGCACGGGTGGTTTTGTTTTCCACTGGCGCACATGCAGGGGGGGGGGGGGGGGAGGCCAGCACGGTACGGGGTGTCCATCGCGATTGATTTCGCTGCTGCTGCTGCTGCCGGCCTCGCGGAAATTCGTTTGAGAATCTGGATCGGGGGGGGGGGGGGGGGCCAAGCAGGGTCGGGGGGGGGGGCGGGGGGGGGGTGGGGGGGGAGACTGACGCCGGTAGCGGCGAGGACGCGGCCGTTGCGCCTATGCGCGTCAGTGGCGCGGCGCGGCACGGCACGGCACGGTACGGCACGCGCAGTGGAAAAACAGCCTTGGTGGCGGCTTCCTGAGTGCCCCCCCCCTCCAGGCAGGGCGTGGCTCGGAATGCGGCAGTGGAAAAAGCGTGGGCACACGACGGGCAGTACGAGCGCGAGCGTGCGTGCACGTGCCACCAGGGCAGCAGGCAGGGCAGTTTCAGGGCCCTCGGCGGCACAGACTTGCGCGCACACACACACGCACACACGCACGCACACACGCACGCACGCGCGCACACACACACAGACGCGCACACACACACACACGCACGCACGTACACACGCGCACACACACACACACGCGCATACACACACGCACGCACGCACGTACACACACGTACACACACACGCACGCACACACACACGCACGCACGCACACACACACACGCACACACGCGCACGAACGCACTCACACACGCACAAGGGAGCATCGCAGCGGCCGCACTGTCAACGTTTACTCGGGAGGTTTCGGCTCCTCAGAGGGGTGACTCCTCAAGGGGGGTCGACTCCTCAGGGCGGGGGGGTGAGTCTTCAGGGGGGGGGGGGGTCAACTCCCTCCTCCTTGGGGAGAGGCTCAGTAGATGTTGAGGCTGAGCGAGCGTGCGGTGGCTCGCCCCACGAGCCTCGAGCGAGCCAGCGAGGAGCGCGTGCACATGCGCGACGAGGGGAGGAGGGAGTCGGGCAACGGGGGGTCCTCCCCCCCGCCCCCCCCGCCCCGAGCCATCTGAGCCTTCTTGAGCTCCCTGGGTATGACGATGGTAGGGAGCGATGGGGGGGAGGGGGGGAAGGGGGAGATTGAGGGAGGGGGGGGGGAGGGGAGAGAGAGGGGAGAGGGGGGAGAGGGGAGAGGGAGAGAGGGGGGAGAGGGGAGAGGGAGGGGGGAGAGGGAGGGGGGAGAGGGAGGGGGAGAGAGGGAGGGGGGAGAGAGGGAGGGGGGAGAGGGTGGAGAGGGAGGGGGGGAGAGAGGGAGGGGGGGGAGAGAGAGGGAGGGGGGAGTGGGGAGAGAGGGAGGGGGGGAGAGAGGGAGGGGGAAGAGGGGGAGAGAGGGAGGGGGGGAGAGGGAGGGGGGGAGAGGGGGGGAGGGGGGGAGAGGGGGGGGAGGGGGGAGGGGGGAGAGGGAGAGAGGGAGGGGGGAGAGGGGGGAGAGGGGGGAGGGGAGAGGGAGGGGGAGAGAGAGGGGGGAGAGTGAAAAGGGGGGGGGGGGCATTATATTATAGTGTACCAAAGTGTGTAATGGATAGTGGTGTAGTGTACAGTCGTGTAGTGTATTGTAGTGTACAGTAGTGTTGTGTATTGTAGTGTACAGTAGTGTTGTGTATAGTAGTGTATAGTGTAGTGTATAGTAGTGTATCGTGTAGTGTATAGTAGTGTATCATAGTGTATAGTGTAGTGTATAGTATAGTGTATAGTGTAGTGAATAGTAGTGTATAGTAGTATATAGTATAGTAGTATATAGTAATATAGTGTATATAGTTAATAATGTAGTAGTGTGTAGTAGTAGTATAAAGGAGGGGTATTACATCTGCCGGAGTATATAGTATGTATAGTGTATGTAGTATATAGTGTATATAGTAGTATATTATATAGTGTAGTAGTGTGTAGTATAGTGTAGTGTATAGTAGTGTATATAGTAATATAGTGTATAGTGTAGTATAGAGGGGGGTATTACGTCTGCAGGAGGTGGTTCTTGAACCTCTCCGCGTTGTATAGTATAGTAGTATAGTAGTGTATATAGTAGTGTAGTATGTAGTGTTGTATAGTAGTGTATATAGTATATAGAAGTGTAGTATAGAGGGGAGAGACGCGGCGAGACACGGGGAGACGCGGAGAGACACGGGGAGAGACATGGGGAGAGACACGGGGAGAGAGACGCCACGGGGAGAGACACGGGGAGAGACACGGGGAGGGACACGGGGAGAGAGACGGAGAGAGAGACACGGGGAGAGACACGGGGAGAGACACGGGGAGAGAGACGCCACGGGGAGAGACACGGCGAGATACGGGGAGAGACACGGGGAGAGAGACGCCACGGGGAGAGACACGGGGAGAGACACGGGGAGAGACGCGGGGAGAGAGACGGAGAGAGAGACACGGGGAGAGACACGGGGAGAGACACGGGGAGAGAGACACCACGGGGAGAGACACGGCGAGACACGGGGAGATGGACAGACGGAAAGACAGACAAAACATGCCTTTTATAGGTTAGATATAGTGTATATAGTATATAGTGTATATAGTAGTATAGTATAGTGTATACTAGTGTAGTATAGTATATAGTAATGTAGTATAGTAGTAGTATAGAAGAAGTATTACGTCTGCAGGAGGTGGTTCTTGAACCTCTCCGCGTTGAGTTCCCGTCTCAGCTCCTCGGCGCTCCGTCTCTCCGGGGGCAGCAGCTCGGTGTGACGGCAGAGACACGCGGACGAGGGGCGAGACGCGGGATCCGGGCACAGCATGGACTGGGGGGGACACGCAGAGACACGGGGGGGCGGGGGCGGGGGCGGGGGGGAGGAATATGGAGACGAGCAGAGCCACAGAGAGACACACGGGGAGAGAGAGACGCGGGGGAGAGACACGGGGAGACACGGAGAGAGACGCGGGGGAGAGACACGGGGAGACACGGAGAGAGACGCGGGGGAGAGACGCGGGGGAGAGACACGGGGAGACACGGAGAGAGACGCGGGGGAGAGACACGGGGAGACACGGAGAGAGACGCGGGGGAGAGACACGGGGAGACACGAAGAGAGACGCGGGGGAGAGACACAGGGAGAAAGACGCCACGGGGAGAGAGACGCGGGGAGAGACGGGGAGACGCGGAGAGAGAGACACGGGGAGAGAGACATGGGGAGAGACGCAGGGGAGAGACACGGGGAGACACGGAGAGAGAGACACGGGGAGACGCGGAGAGAGAGACACGGGGAGAGAGACACGGGGAGAGACGCGGGGGAGAGACACGGGGAGACGCGGAGAGAGAGAGACACGGGGAGACGCGGAGAGAGAGACACGGGGAGAGACACGGGGAGAGAGACGCCACGGGGAGAGAGACGTGGGGAGAGAGACACGGGGAGAGAGACACGGGGAGAGAGACACGGGGAGAGAGACACGGGGAGAGAGACACGGGGAGAGAGACACGGGGAGAGACGCCACGGGGAGAGAGACGCCACGGGGAGAGAGACGCGGGGAGAGAGACACGGGGAGAGAGACACGGGGAGAGAGACACGGGGAGAGAGACACGGGGAGAGAGACACGGGGAGAGAGACACGGGGAGAGAGACACGGGGAGAGAGACACGGGGAGAGAGACACGGGGAGAGAGACACGGGGAGAGACGCCACGGGGAGAGAGACACGGGGAGAGAGACACGGGGAGAGAGACACAGAGGGTTGGAGGGTGGGGGGGGGGTTGAGGGCTGGGTGGGAGTTGGGGGGCTCGGGGGGGTTCGGAGGGCTGGGTGGGGGTTGGGGTGGCCGTCTGTCTGGCTGGCTGGGGGGGGGGCTACCTCCAGCAGCTGTTGGAGGCCGGCCCCCAGTGCGCGTGGCAGGGAGGGGAGGGCCCCCTGCCGGATGCGCTGCCACTCCGCGCCATTGGCCGGCAGGGGCCCGGCGCCGGCGGCCACGGCGGCGGTGAGCGCCAGGGAGAAGACGTCGGCCTTGGGCAGGTGCCGGTAGTCCTGGAGGGCAAGCGGAGGGCACTCACACACTAAACCACACTACAACAACAACAACCGCCATTCGCCACTAAGTGGCGGTGACGTCACCACGACGCTTGTGCCAGGCTATGTGCACCTTGAGGCCACGTGAAGTGTCGAACGCCCGCTGGCAGGAGGTCACGGGGCAGACCCAGCAGGTGCCACGGGTCGACTGACTGAGATGCCTGAGATGAGTGGCTGATGCACCACCTGTGCCCCCTACTGTGCCAACCTGCTGTGCTTTATCCACCCGGCGCTCCGCTCGTTGTTGTGAGCGTCGCTCCTCCGCCCTCCGTTGTTGTTGGAGGGCGACTGCCTCCAACTAACCAGTAGCGGCGTCCTTCACGAGCCTCCTCCACAGAGGCCGATCTTGACACCGCTGGTACCGGTCATCGGCAAGTCCACTCAGCTCCACGTCCTCCTGTACCACATCACTCCATCTCTTCTCTAGCCCCGTGCCTCCTGTGCCACATCAGTCCATCTCTTCTCTAGCCCGTGCCGCGCCCGTTTAGCCCCCTCGATCCGGCCCGAACAAAAGCTGTTCAGGCATGCGGTGCCTGGGCATGCGGGCTATGTGACCCAGCCAACGCAGCCTTGCCTGCCGGAGGAGTTCACCGATGGGACTTTGCTCAGATCTTTCAAGGATTTGTGAGCTCCTCACACAATCCAGCCTGGTTAAACCCACACTAAACCACACTACACACACACAGACACACACACTACACCACACTACACAGACACACACACTACACCACACTACACAGACACACACACTACACCACACTACACACAGACACACACTACACCACACTACACACACACTATACCACACTACACACACAGACACACACTACACCACACTACACACACACACAGACACACACACTATACCACACTACACACACACTATACCACACTACACACACACTACACCACATTACACACAAACACACACACTGCACACACACACCACACACACTACACCACACTGACACACACACAGACACACACTACACCACACTACAGACACACACACTATACCACACTACACACGCACTACACCACACTACACCACACTACACAGACACACACACTATACCACACTAAACACACACACTACACCATACTACACCACACTACAACAACAACAACAACAACCGCCATTCGCCACTAAGTGGCGGTGACGTCACCACGACGCTTGTGCCAGGCTATGTGCACCCTGAGGCCACGTGAAGTGTCGAACGCCCGCTGGCAGGAGGTCACGGGGCAGACCCAGGTGCCACGGGTCGACTGACTGAGATGACTGGCTGATGCACCACCTGTGCCCCCTACTGTGCCAACCTGCTGTGCTTTAGCCACCCGGCGCTCCGCTCGCTGTTGTGAGCGTCGCTCCTCCGCCCTCCGTTGTTGTTGGAGGGCGACTGCCTCCAACTGCCCAGTAGCATCCTTCACGAGCCTCCTCCACAGAGGCCGATCTTGACACCGCTGGTACCAGTCAACGGCAAGTCCACTCAGCTCCACGTCCTCCTGTACCACATCACTCCATCTCTTCTCTAGCCCGTGCCGCGCCCACTTAGCCCCCTCAATCCGGCCAAACAAAACACACACAGACACACACACTATACTACACCACACACACACACTACACCACACTACACCACACTACACAGACACACACACTAAACGCGCTATACACTACACCACACTACATACACACAGACACACACACTACACACACACTACGCACACACACTAGACGTGCTATACACTACACCACACACCACTCCAGGTAGGCATTCAAGGCTGAGTCGACCTAGGGGAGGCCCAGCACAGCCCCTGGCTTGCTCCGCTCACCTCCTGCAGAACCTCCAGGGCCAGGAAGCGACTGTCGCCCTCCTCCACCTGGGGGTCGGAGGTCAACGTCACGTGACCCAGGTCACCTGCACAGATGCAGCAAGAGGGGGGCAGGGGGCAGCCAGAGTGGTGATGGTGGTGGTGATGGTGACAGCGGTGGTGGTGGTGGTGATGGCGGTGGTGGTAGTGGTGATGATGGTGGTGGTGATAGCGGTGGTGGTGATGGCGGTGGTGGTAGTGGTGATGATGGTGGTGGTGGTGGTGATAGCGGTGGTGGTGGTGGTGATGGCGGTGGTGGTAGTGGTGATAGCGGTGGTGGTGGTGGTGATGGCGGTGGTGGTAGTGGTGATGGTGGTGGTGGTGATGGCGGTGGTGGTAGTGGTGATGATGGTGGTGGTGGTGGTAGCGGCGGTGGCGGTGGTGATGGTGGCTGTGGTAGTGGCGGTGATGGTGGTGGCGGTGGTAGCGGTGGTGGCTGTGGTAGTGGCAGTGATGGTGGTAGTGGCGGTGATGGTGGTGGCGGTGGTGATGGTGACTGTGGTGGTGGTGATGGCGGCGGTGATGGTGACTGTGGTGGTGGTGGTGATGGCGGCGGTGATGGTGGTGGCAGTGGTGGTGGTGGCTGTGGTGGTGATAGCGGTGGTGGTGGTGATGGCGGCGGTGGTGATGGTGGCGACGTTGACAATGTTGTGTTCACCGATCTCGTAGACAACGTCGGTGAAGGTGACGATAACGATGATGACGATAGTGATGTCGATGATGATGACGATGATGTCGATAGTGATGATGATGTCGATGATGATGACGATGATGTCGAAAGTGATGATGATGTCGATGGTGATGACGATGATAACGATAGTGATGATGATGTCGATCATGGTGATGATGATGTCGATAACGACGATGACGTTGACGTTCACGATGATGACGATGATGACGTTGACGATCACGATGATGATGATGACGTTGACGATCACGATGATGATGATGGCGATGATGATGGCGTTGACAATCACGATGATGACGATGATGACGTTGACGTTGACGATCACGATGACGACGATGATGATGACGTTGACGATCATGATGATGACGATGACGTTGACGATAACGATGATGACGTTGACGATCACGATGATGATGATGATGACGTTGACGATCACGATGATGATGACGTTGACGATCACGATGATGATGATGTTGACGATGATGATGATGACGATCACGATGATGATGACGATGACGATCACGATGATGATGACGTTGATGATCACGATGAGGATGACGTTGACGATCACGATGATGATGACGTTGACGATCACGATGGATGACGATGTTGATGACGTTGACGACCACGATGATGATATCGGTGATGATGATGACGATGATGACGTTGACGATCACGATGATGTTGATGATGATGTCGGTGATGATGTTGATGATGATGTCGGTGATGATGTTGATGATGATGTCGGTGATGATGTTGACGATCACGACGATGATTTTGGTGATGACGATGTTGACAATGACGTTGATGACGATGACGTTGACGATCACGATGATGATGATGATGATGTCGGTGACGATGTTGACGATCACGATCACGACGCTGATGTTGGTGACGATGATGACGTTGACGATCACGATGATGTCGGTGACGATGTTGACGATCACGATCACGACGATGTTGGTGACGATGATGACGATCACGATGATGTCAGTGACGATGTTGACGTCCTCACCGATCTTGTAAACGACGTTGGTGGAGGAGACGCACTCCTCATCGTCCCCCTCGTCGCTCGGCTCCGCCGGGTTGGGTGACGTCACCCTCCTGGCGATGAAGATGTTACCTGTGGGGTCACGGGGGGTCACGGGGGGGGTGGGGACACCACCTCGTCAGCCCCCCTCCGCTCACACGTGTGTACACACACACACGTGTGTACACACACACACACACGTGTGTACACACACACCTGTGCACACACACAGACACGTGTACACACACACACAGACAGACGCGCACACGCACGTGTACACACACGCGCGTGCGTGTACACACACGCGCGCACACACACGCGTGCGTGTACACACACGCGTGCACACACGCATACGTGTACACACACGCACACACGCGCAAGTGTACACACACGCGCAAGTGTACACACACGCGAGTGTACACACACTCGTGTACACACACACACAGACTCGTGTACACACACAGACACAGACACGTGTACACACAGACGTGTAAACACGTGTACACACACACAGACACGTGTGTACACACACACAGACACGTGTGTACACACACACAGACACGTGTACACACACACACAGACACGTGTACACACACACAGACACGTGTACACACACACAGACACGTGTACACACACACAGACACGTGTACACACACACAGACACGTGTACACACACACATACTCGTGTACACACACACATACTCGTGTACACATACTCGTGTACACACACGCACGCACACACGCATGCGTGTACACACACGCGCGCGTGTACACACACACACACATGCGCAAGTGTACACACACGCGCAAGTGTACACACACGCGCAAGTGTACACACACGCGAGTGTACACACACACACGCGAGTGTACACACACACACACTCGTGTACACACACACACAGACACGTGTACACATACACAAACTCGTGTACACACACACATAGACACGTGTACACACAGACGTGTAAGCACGTGTGTACACACACAGACACGTGTGTACACACATACAGACACGTGTGTACACACACACAGACACGTGTGTACACACACACACTCGTGTACACACACACACTCGTGTACACACACACACAGACTCGTGTACACACACACAGACTCGTGTACACACACACAGACTCGTGTACACACAGACACTTGTACACACACACACACAGACACGTGTACACACACAGACACGTGTACACACACACAGACTCGTGTACACACACACACACAAAGACACGTGTACACACACACAAAGACACGTGTACACACACACAGACAAGTGTACACACACACACAGACACGTGTACACACACACAAAGACACGTGTACACACACACAAAGACACGTGTACAGATTGTAGACCTACACAAGGCTGCCATGCAGCTTGGTGAGAAGGTGACAACAGTTGGTCCGATTATTCGCAAATGGGAAAAACACAAAAGAACTGTCAATCTCCCTCGGCCTGGGGCTCCATGCAAGATCTCACCTCGTGGAGTTGCAATGATCATGAGAATGGTGAGGAATCAGCCCAGAACTACACGGGAGGATCTTGTCAATGATCTCAAGGCAGCTGGGACCATAGTCACCAAGAAAACAATTGGTAACACTACGCCGTGAAGGACTGAAATCCTGCAGCGCCCGCAAGGTCCCCATGCTCAAGAAAGCACATATACATGCCCGTCTGAAGTTTGCCAATGAACATCTGAATGATTCAGAGGACAACTAGGTGAAAGTGTTGTGGTCAGATGAGACCAAAATGGAGCTCTTTGGCATCAACTCAACTCGCCGTGTTTGGAGGAGGAGGAATGCTGCCTATGGCCCCAAGAACACCATCCCCACCTTCAAACATGGAGGTGGAAACATTATGCTTTGGGGGTGTTTTTCTGCTAAGGGGACAGGACAACTTCACCGCATCAAAGGGACGATGGACGGGGTTATGTACCGTCAAATCTTAGGTGAGAACCTCCTTCCCTCAGCCAGGGCATTGAAAATGGGTCGTGGATGGGTATTCCAGCATGACAATGACCCAAAACACACGGCCAAGACAACAAAGGAGTGGCTCAAGAAGAAGCACATTAAGGTCCTGGAGTGGCCTAGCCAGTCTCCAGACCTTAATCCCATAGAAAATCTGTGGAGGGAGCTGAAGGTTCGAGTTGCCAAACGTCAGCCTCAAAACCTTAATGACTTGGAGAAGATCTGCAAAGAGGAGTGGGACAAAATCCCTCCTGAGATGTGTGCAAACCTGGTGGCCAACTACAAGAAACGTCTGACCTCTGTGACTGCAAACAAAGGTTTTGCCACCAAGTACTAAGTCATGTTTTGCAGAGGGGTCAAATTCTTATTTCCCTCAATAAAATGCAAATAAATTTATAACATTTTTGACATGCGTTTTTCTGGATTTTTTTGTTATTCTGTCTCTCACTGTTCAAATAAACCTACCATTAAAATTATAGACTGATCATTTCTTTGTCAGTGGGCAAACGTACAAAATCAGCAGGGGATCAAATACTTTTTTCCCTCACTGTACACACACACTCACAGACACGTGTACACACACACACACACACTCGTGTACACACACAGACACGTGTACACACACACAGACACGTGTACACACATACACACAGACACGTGTACGCACACAGACACGTGTACACACAGACACGTGTACACACACATACAGACACGTGTACACACACACACACACAGACACGTGTACACATACACACAGACACGTGTACGCACACAGACACACAGACACGTGTACGCACACAGACACGGGTAGACACAAACACAGACACGTGTACACACACACACAGACACGTGTACACACACAGACACGTGTACGCACACAGACACGTGTACACACACACACAGACACGTGTACACACACACACAGACACGTGTACACACACACACAGACACGTGTACACCCACACAGACACGTGTACGCACACAGACACGTGTACACACACACACAGACTCGTGTACACACACACACAGACACGTGTACACCCACACAGACACGTGTACACACACACATAGACACGTGTACACCCACACAGACACGTGTACACCCACACAGACACGTGTACGCACACAGACACGTGTACACACACACACAGACACGTGTACACCCACACAGACACGTGTACGCACACAGACACGTGTACACACACACACACACAGTGTGCGCGCACGCACTGGGCTTGATGTCCATGTGCACCAGGCTGCTGGCGTGGATGTACTTGAGTCCGCGCGCCACCTGCAGCAGCAGCTCGCGCACCTCCTGGTCGGTGAAGGCACGGCCCTCACTGGCGCCCTCCCTCACGGCGCCCTGCAGGCTGCCGCCTGCGCACGCAGAACCCGGGCGGCCGTCCGGCGTGAGCGCTGGGGGCGCGTGCCGTGGCGCAGACCACCACCACGCCGGCGTCTGTACTGAAAGGGTGATCTCCATACTATAGACCACCACGCTGGTGTCTGTACTGAAAGGGTGATCTCCATACCATAGACCACCAAGCTGGTGTCTGTACTGAAAGGGTGATCTCCATACCATAGACCACCACCATGCTGGTGTCTGTACTGAAAGGGTGATCTCCATACTATAGACCACCACCACCATGCTGGTGTCTGTACTGAAAGGGTGATCTCCATACTATAGACCACCACGCTGGTGTCTGTACTGAAAGGGTGATCTCCTTACCATAGACCACCACGCTGGTGTCTGTACTGAAAGGGTGATCTCCATACCATAGACCACCACGCTGGTGTCTGTACTGAAAGGGTGATCTCCATACTATAGACCACCACGCTGGTGTCTGTACTGAAAGGGTGATCTCCTTACCATAGACCACCACGCTGGTGTCTGTACTGAAAGGGTGATCTCCTTACTATAGACCACCACGCTGGTGTCTGTACTGAAAGGGTGATCTCCTTACCATAGACCACCACGCCGGCGTCTGTACTGAAAGGGTGATCTCCATACTATAGACCACCACGCTGGTATCTGTACTGAAAGGGTGATCTCCTTACCATAGACCACCACCACGCCGGTGTCTGTACTGAAAGGGTGATCTCCATACTATAGACCACCACGCTGGTGTCTGTACTGAAAGGGTGATCTCCTTACTATAGACCACCACGCCGGCGTCTGTACTGAAAGGGTGATCTCCTTACCATAGACCACCACCACGCCGGTGTCTGTACTGAAAGAGTGATCTCCATACCATAGACCACCACGCTGGTGTCTGTACTGAAAGGGTGATCTCCTTACCATAGACCACCACGCTGGTGTCTGTACTGAAAGGGTGATCTCCATACCATAGACCACCACGCTGGTGTCTGTACTGAAAGGGTGATCTCCTTACTATAGACCACCACGCTGGTGTCTGTACTGAAAGGGTGATCTCCTTACCATAGACCACCACGCTGGTGTCTGTACTGAAAGGGTGATCTCCTTACCATAGACCACCACGCTGGTGTCTGTATTGAAAGGGTGATCTCCATACCATAGACCACCACGCTGGTGTCTGTACTGAAAGGGTGATCTCCTTACCATAGACCACCACGCTGGTGTCTGTACTGAAAGGGTGATCTCCTTACCATAGACCACCACGTTGGTGTCTGTACTGAAAGGGTGACCACCATACTATAGACCACCACGCTGGTGTCTGTACTGAAAGGGTGATCTCCATACTATACACCACCACGCTGGTGTCTGTATTGAAAGGGTGATCTCCTTACCATAGACCACCACGCCGGCGTCTGTACTGAAAGGGTGATCTCCATACCATAGACCACCACGCTGGTGTCTGTACTGAAAGGGTGATCTCCTTACTATAGACCACCACGTTGGTGTCTGTACTGAAAGGGTGATCTCCTTACCATAGACCACCACGCTGGTGTCTGTACTGAAAGGGTGATCTCCTTACTATAGACCACCATGCCGGCGTCTGTACTGAAAGGGTGATCTCCTTACTATAGACCACCACGTTGGTGTCTGTACTGAAAGGGTGATCTCCTTACCATAGACCACCACGCTGGTGTCTGTACTGAAAGGGTGATCTCCTTACCATAGACCACCACGCTGGTGTCTGTACTGAAAGGGTGATCTCCATACCATAGACCACCACGCTGGTGTCTGTACTGAAAGGGTGATCTCCATACCATAGACCACCACGTTGGTGTCTGTACTGAACGGGTGATCTCCTTACTATAGACCACCACGCTGGTGTCTGTACTGAAAGGGTGACCACCATACTATAGACCACCACGCTGGTATCTGTACTGAAAGGGTGATCTCCTTACTATAGACCACCACGCTGGTGTCTGTACTGAAAGGGTGATCTCCATACTATAGACCACCACCACCATGCTGGTGTCTGTACTGAAAGGGTGATCTCCTTACCATAGACCACCACGCCGGTGTCTGTACTGAAAGGGTGATCTCCGTACTATAGACCACCACGCCGGTGTCTGTACTGAAAGGGTGATCTCCATACTATAGACCACCACCACCATGCTGGTGTCTGTACTGAAAGGGTGATCTCCATACCATAGACCACCAAGCTGGTGTCTGTACTGAAAGGGTGATCTCCATACTATAGACCACCACCACCATGCTGGTGTCTGTACTGAAAGGGTGATCTCCTTACCATAGACCACCACGCCGGTGTCTGTACTGAAAGGATGATCTCCATACTATAGACCACCACCACCATGCTGGTGTCTGTACTGAAAGGGTGATCTCCTTACCATAGACCACCACGCCGGTGTCTGTACTGAAAGGGTGATCTCCGTACTATAGACCACCATGCCGGTGTCTGTACTGAAAGGGTGATCTCCATACCATAGACCACCACGCTGGTATCTGTACTGAAAGGGTGATCTCCATACTATAGACCACCACGCTGGTGTCTGTAACTGAAAGGGTGATCTCCTTACTATAGACCACCACGCTGGTGTCTGTACTGAAAGGGTGATCTCCGTACTATAGACCACCACGCTGGTGTCTGTACTGAAAGGGTGATCTCCATACTATAGACCACCACGCTGGTGTCTGTAACTGAAAGGGTGATCTCCGTACTATAGACCACCACGCTGGTGTCTGTACTGATAGGGTGATCTCCACACCTCCTGCTGCTGTGCGACCCGGTTCCTAACAGGCCGCGGACCGGTACCGGTCCACGGCCCGGGGATTTGGTACCCCTGATGGAGACCACCACACCAGTGTGTGTACTGAAAGAGCAATCAAAGATCCTCCGTGTAGCCTAAACAGACTGTTGGGGAAAGTGCTGTTAGCGAGCAGCACCTATGAAGGCTACCGGCACTGTGGGACACGAGGGGGTGGGTGGACAACACCACGCCTGGCCGCCTTTGTCTCCCCAGCGGCGATGTTCACGACTGCACATCGTCACTGCTCGTTTAAGGCGGAGTCGACCAACGTGTGCATGTGTGTGCGTGCCAGTGTGTGTGTGTCAATGTGTGTGTCAATGTGTGTGTCAATGTGCGTGTATCAGTGTGTGTGTCAGTGTGTGTGTGGTGCTCGCTAACAGCACTTGCCCCTACAGTCTGTTAAGGCTATACGTGGGATCTTTGTCTTTGTGTCAGTGTGTGTCAATGTGCGTATATTAGTGTGCGTGTCAGTGTGTGTGTGTGTCTGTGTGTGTGCGTGCCAGTGTGTGTGTGTTCATGTGTGTGTGCCAGTGTGTGTATCAGTGTGTGTGTCAGTGTGTGTGTGTCAGTGTCTGTTTAGGCTACACGGAGGATCTTTGATTGTGGGGAGCGATAGTGTAGCGGTTAGCGCGCTGCGCTATGAACCTGGCGACTCGGGTTCGATTCCCGCTCATGGCCAACACCAGTGACGATTATCTGAACCAGTCCCGGGCCTCCCCTAGGTCGACTCAGCCTCAAATGAGTACCTGGTGCGGTGTGTAAACATTGCCACTAGGGAGACAAAGGCGGTCGGGTGTGGTGCTGGCCACCCACCCCCTCGTGTACCGTTCCGGCCTTCATAGGTGCTCGCTAACAGCACTTGCCCCTACAGTCTGTTAAGGCTATATGGGGGATCTTTGTATCTTTGTTGTGTGTCAGTGTGTGTGTGTACACGTGTCTGTGTGTGTGTGTACACGTGTCTGTGTGTGTGTGTACACGTGTCTGTGTGTGTGTGTACACGTGTCTGTGTGTGTGTGTACGTGTCTGTGTGTGTGTCAGTGTGTGTGTGTGTCAGTGTGTGTGTCAGTGTCAGTCTGTTAAGGCTATATGGGGGATCTTTTTTGTGTCAGTGTGTGTGTGTCAGTGTGTGTGCCAGTGTGTGTGTCAGTGTGTGTGTGTGTCAGTCTGTGTGTGTACACGTGTCTGTGTGTGTACTCGTGTCTGTGCGTGTACACGTGTCAGTGCGTGTGTGTGTGTGTCAGTGTGTGTGTCAGTGTGTATGTCTGTGTCAGTGTGTGTGTGTCAGTGTGTGTATCAGTGTGTGTCAGTGTGTGTCAGTGTGTGTCAGTGTGCGTGTGTCAGTGTGCGTCAGTGTGTGTGTCTGTGTCCTTGTGTCAGTGTGTGTCAGTGTGTGTGTCAGTGTGTGTGTCAGTGTGCGTGTGTCAGTGTGTGTCAGTGTGTGTCAGTGTGCGTGTGTCAGTGTGTGTCAGTGTGTCAGTGTGTGTCAGTGTGCGTGTGTCAGTGTGTCAGTGTGCGTGTGTCAGTGTGCGTGTGTCAGTGTGTGTGTCAGTGTGTGTGTGTCAGTGTGCGTGTGTCAGTGTGTGTGTGTGTCAGTGTGTGTGTGTCAGTGTGCGTGTGTCAGTGTGTGTCAGTGTGCGTGTGTCAGTGTGCGTGTGTCAGTGTGTGTCAGTGTGTGTGTGCGTGCGCGTCACGTGGCAGCGAGCAGTCGGTGTGGCGCGGGGCGGCTCACCGTTGCAGTACTCGTTCTGGATGATCATGTGGTCATCCTCGGCCCACGCCGAGTAGTAGCGCACCACGTGGGGGTGCTGGCCCAGCACGGCGTGGGCGTAGACCTCACGCAGGGCGCTCTGCCTGCAGGAGCACCGCCGCAAGTACGCGCACAGCCACAGACGCGCACACAGATACAGACACGCGCGTAGACACGTGCACAGACAGACGCGCACACAGATACAGACACGCGCGCAGGCACGTGCACAGACACGCACACAGATACAGACACGCGCGCAGACACGTGCACAGACACAGACGCGCACACAGATACAGACACGTGCACAGCCACAGACACGCACACAGACGCACAGATACACACGCGCGCACAGAAACGCGCACACAGATACACACGCACGCACGCGCACAGACACACACGTACATACACGCGCACAGACACACACGTACATACACGCGCGCAGATACACACGTACATACACGCGCACAGATACACACGCACACAGACACGTACAGACACACACACACAAAGACACACAGAAACATCCTCTGTCAGTAGCACCACCGCACAAAGACAAAGATCCCCCGTGTAGCCTTAACAGGCTGGAGGGGCAAGTGCTGTTAGCGAGCACCTACGAAGGCTGCCGGCACTGTGGCACACGAGGGGGTGGGTGGCCAGCACCACGCCCGGCCGCCTGTGTCTCCCCAGCGGCGATGTTTACACACCGCACCAGGTGCTCATTTGAGGCCGAGTCGACCTAGGGGAGGCCCAGGGACCGGTTCAGAATAATCGTCACTGCCGGTGTTGGCCGTGAGCGGGAATCGAACCCCGGGTCGCCGGGTTCTTAGCGCAGCGTAGCGCTAGGCACTGCACCACCGCTCCCCGCAACGCACGCAGACACACACACACACACAGAGAGAGACACGCGGGCGCACACACACTCGGACAAAGCCAAATGTCTCCCGTCGGGGGCAAGCCCTGCTCGCGAGCAAGCCACCGATCCCCACGCGTTGCGTGCGCGCGCGTTGCGTGTGCGTGTCGCGCGTAGCGCCGTGGCCCCCCGCGTACTCGTCCACGGATCCGGCGAGGGGTCGCAGCGAGCGCTTGATGGCGTAGAGGCAGCCGTCCAGGCGCTTCACGCACTTGAACACCGAGCCGAAGTGGCCGGCGCCGATGCGCGCCACCTCGTGGAACTCGGAGGCGTAGCGTGAGCGCATGTTGCTCATGCGCAGGGGCAGCCTCTGCACGCACGCACGCACAGGTACGCGCGCACGCGTACGTACAGACACACGCGCGCACACAGGTAAGCACGCGCGTACGCACACACGTATACACACACGTACGTACACACACACACACGTACACACACAAACGTATACACGTTCACGCGCACGTACACGCACGCACACGTATACACACACGTATACACACACACGTACACGTAAGTACACACACACGTACGTACACACACACACACACGTATACACACACATGTATACACACACACACACGTACACACACAAACGTACACACACATGCACACATACGCACACGCACGCACACACACACGCACACACACACGTGTACACCAACACACAAGCACGGTACCTTTGCCGGTAAAGTGTCTTCATCGTCTATTAACACATCTTCCATGTCGGCCCTGCACGGATACACAGAAGCACTCAGTGACGTTTGCACAGTCTACAGTGTAGTGTATAGTGTAGTGTATAGTAGTATAGTGTATAGTAGTGCAGTGTATAGTGTAGTGTATAGTAGCGCAGTGTATAGTAGCGCAGTGTATAGTGTAGTGTATAGTGTAGTGTCTAGTGTAGTGTCTAGTAGTGTATAGTGTAGTGTCTAGTAGTGTATAGTGTAGTGTCTAGTAGTGTATAGTGTAGTGTATAGTAGTGTAGTGTATAGTGTAGTGTATAGTAGTGTAGTGTATCGTGTAGTGTATAGTAGTGTAGTGTATAGTAGTGTATAGTGTAGTGTATAGTGTAGTGTATAGTGTAGTGTCCAGAGCATGTACAATGTATAGTACTGCCGTGTATCGAGCGTTTAGTGCACACAATGTAGCGTAGTGTATACAAAGTAGTGTAGTGTGTAGTGTATACAAAGTAGTGTAGTGTGTAGTGTATACAACGTAGTGTAGTGTATACAACGTAGTGTAGTGTATACAACGTAGTGTGTAGTGTATACAAAGTAGTCTATATAACGTAGTGTGTAGTGTATACAACGTAGTGTATAGTGTATACAACGTAGTGTGTAGTGTATACAACGTAGTGTGTAGTGTATACAACGTAGTCTATACAACCTAGTGTGTAGTGTATACAACGTAGTGTATAGTGTATACAACGTAGCGTATAGTGTATACAACGTAGTGTGTAGTGTATACAACGTAGTGTGTAGTGTATACAACGTAGTCTATACAACGTAGTGTGTAGTGTATACAACGTAGTGTATAGTGTATACAACGTAGTGTGTAGTCTATTCAACGTAGTGTGTAGCGTATACAACGTAGTGTGTAGCGTATACAACGTAGCGTGTAGGGTATACAACGTAGTGTATAGTGTATACAACGTAGTGTGTAGTGTATACAACGTAGCGTGTAGTGTATACAACGTAGCGTGTAGTGTATACAACGTAGTGTGTAGTGTATACAACGTAGTGTGTAGTGTATACAACGTAGTGTGTAGTGTATACAACGTAGTGTATAGTGTATACAACGTAGTGTGTAGTGTATACAATGTAGTCTATACAACGTAGCGTATAGTGTATACAACGTAGCGTATAGTGTATACAACGTGGTGTGTAGTGTATACAACGTAGTGTATAGTGTATACAACGTAGTGTGTAGTGTATACAACGTAGTGTGTAGTGTATACAATGTAGTGTATAGTGTATACAACGTAGTGTGTAGTGTATACAACGCAGTGTGTAGTGTATACAACGTAGCGTGTAGCGTATACAACGTAGTGTGTAGTGTATACAACGTAGCGTGTAGGGTATACAACGTAGTGTGTAGTGTATACAACGTAGTGTATAGTGTATACAACGTAGTGTGTAGTGTATACAACGTAGTATGTAGTGTATACAACGTAGCGTGTAGCGTATACAACGTAGCGTGTAGTGTATACAACGTAGCGTGTAGCGTATACAACGTAGTGTATAGTGTATACAACGTAGCGTGTAGGGTATACAACGTAGTGTGTAGTGTATACAACGTAGTGTATAGTGTATACAACGTAGTGTGTAGTGTATACAACGTAGTATGTAGTGTATACAACGTAGCGTGTAGCGTATACAACGTAGCGTGTAGTGTATACAACGTAGCGTGTAGCGTATACAACGTAGTGTATAGTGTATACAACGTAGTGTATAGTGTATACAACGTAGTGTGTAGTGTATACAACGTAGTGTATAGTGTATACAACTTAGTGTATACAACGTAGTGTATAGTGTATACAACTTAGTGTATACAACGTAGTGTGTAGTGTATACAACGTAGTGTATAGTGTATACAACTTAGTGTATACAACGTAGTGTGTAGTGTATACAACGTAGTGTGTAGTGTATACAACGTAGTGTGTAGTGTATACAACGTAGCGTGTAGTGTATACAACGTAGTGTGTAGTGTTTGCAATGTAGTGTATAGTGTATGCAACGTAGTGTACAGTGTATAGCGTGCGAGTGTACAGGCTGTACTCACACGGGGTTGGAGCACCGAGGTCTCTTGACCCCCGAGCGGGGGCCCAGGGTTCGGGCGGCCTCCAGGGCGTCCGGGGTGAAGGGGTTCACGTTGACTGCAGGGCTCCCTTCCTCCTGCACCCCCAAGGGGCTCGGGCCCCCTGTTGTCGGGCCCCCCGTTGTCGGGCCCCCCGTTGCCGGGCCTCCCGCTGCCGGGCCAACCGTTGCCGGGCCAACCGTTGCCGGGCCTCCCTGGCGGAGACGAGCGGCCTGGGAGAGGAGGCTCTGGGGGGGAAGCACGGCCACAGAAGTAGACAACCACCGTCAACACCGTCACCGCCACCACCTTCACCCATCAACGCCGTCACCACCGTCACCACCACCACCACCGTCACTGTCACCACCATCACCACCATCACCACCACCACCGTCACTGTCACCACCATCACCACCGTCACCACCGTCACTGTCACCACCACCGTCACCACCACCACCGTCACCACCACCGCTATCACCACCGTCACCACCACCACCGTCACCGTCACCACCACCACCGTCACCACCACCGCCATCACCACCGTCACCACCGTCACCACCGTCACCACCACCATCACCACCGTCACCATCACCACCGTCACCACCACCACCGTCACCACCACCACCGTCACCACCACCACCGTCACCACCACCACCGTCACCACCATCACTGCCATCACCACCGTCACCGCCATCACCACCGTCACCGTCACCACCGTCACCACCGTCACCACCGCCACCACCACCACCGTCACCACCGTCACCGTCACCGCCACCGCCGTCACCGTCACCACCACCGTCACCACCACCGTCACCGCCACCGCCACCACCGTCACTGTCACCACCACCGCCGTCACCACCACCACCGCCACCACCACCACCACCATCACCGCCATCACCACCGTCACCACCACTGCCACCACGGTCACCGCCACCGCCACCACCGTCACCACCACCACCGCCACCACCACCACCACCACCATCACCGCCATCACCACCGTCACCACCACCGCCACCACCGTCACCCATCAATGCCGTCACCACCATCACAGTCACCACCATCACCACCACCGTCACCACCATCACCACAACCGTCACCACCATCACCGTCACCACCATCACCACCACCGTCACCACCACCATCACGACGATGATGACACTGGTGACTATAATGACGATGATGTAATCTGCAACAGAACTGGCCTACGATGATGACGATGATGTAATCTGCAACGAGGCTGACCTACGATGCTCCCCCTGACATCTCAACACATTGAAAAGGGGAACCTCCCCGCGCCCCCAGTGGCAGCTGCCCCTGTGCTGCACAGATGCCGAGCCACCTTGTGCACCCGCAAAGATAAATATCTCCCGTGCAGCCTTAACAGACTGTTGGGGCAAGTGCTGTTAGCGAGCACCTATGAAGGCCAGAACGGCACATGAGGGGGTGGGTGGCCAGCACCACACCCGGCCGCCTTTGTCTCCTCAGTGGCGATGTTTACACACCGCACCAGGTACTAATTTGAGGCCGAGTCGACCTCGGGGAGGCCCTTGACCGGTTCAGATAATCGTCACTGGTGTTGGCCGTGAGCAGGAATCGAACCCGGGTTGCCGGGTTCATAGTGCAGCGCGCTAACCGCTACACGACCGCTTCACCCTGACAAACAACACTGACACACACACAGACACACACACACACACTGACACACACACACACACAACAACAAACAACAACCGCCATTCGCCACTAAGTGGCGGTGACGTCACCACGACGCTTGTGCCAGGCCATGTGCACCTTGAGGCCACGTGAAGTGTCGAACGCCCGCAAGCAGGTCACGGGGCAGACCCAAGTGCCACGGGTCGACTGACCGAGATGACTGGCTGATGCACCACCTGTGCCCCCTACTGTGCCAACTTGCTGTGCTTTAGCCACTCGGCGCTCCGCCTCCAACTGCCCAGTAGCATCCTTCACAAGCCTCCTACACAGAGGCCAATCTTGAAACCACTGGTACCAGTCATCGGCAAGTTCACTCAGCTCCACGTCCTCCTGTACCACATCACTCCATCTCTTCTCAGGCCCGTGCCGCGCCCGTTCAGCCCCCTCGATCCGGCCGAACAAAAGCTGTTTCGGCATGCGGTGGCTGGGCATGCGGGCTAATGACCCAGCCAACGCAGCCTTGCCTGCCAGAGGAGCTCACCGATGGGACCTTGCTCAGATCTTTCAAGGATTTGTGAGCTCCTCACACAATCCAGCCTGGTTAAACCCAGGATGGATCGTAGGCAGGCTAGCCTAAATGTTTCTAACCGGCGAAGATGTTCCATTAAGGGGGTCCACGTTTCGCAAGCGTAGAGAAGGGAGGGAATGACCGTGGCCGAGAAGACCTGAAGCTTAGTGCGGAGCGACAGACCAGGTAGCTTCCACACAGCGTTACGCAACCGATGAAAAGATATTGCCGCTCGACTGATTCGGAGTGAGACCTCTGCTGTTAAACTGGAGCCGGTCATAAGCAAACTGCCCAGGTATGGGAAACTCTCCACTTTCTCCACAACTGTCCCATCACCGATTGGGAGTTGTGGGGGTGGAGTGTCCAATGGTACAAAATACCCAGGCAGGTGCTTAGTTTTGGTGGGGCTGATGGTAAGGCCCCATCTCTTAGTGGCACGCTCCAGTCTCAGCAGCAGCGTCTCCAACTCCTCCTCTGAATGAGTAGCTATTACCAAATCATCGGCATACATAACGTGGTTGAGCTATAGGGAGCCATCCCTTGACTGCACCCGGGCATCGATCAGCCTCCCATTATATCTGTACCAAATGGAGATTCCCCTGGTACAGCTATTGAAGGCTTCACGAGCTACATGGTCAAAATAGATGTTAAATAATGTGGGAGCCAGAGGACATCCCTGTCGCAACCCAAGGTGTAAAGGGAATGGCTCTGACTCCTGGCCACGTAGTTTTACCAGGGTCTGCTCACCATCATGAAGGTCCTTAATGATCGTGAGCAGAGGGTCAGGGACTCCAAAAGCACGAAGAACAACCCAGAGCCCAGGCCTACTGATGGTATCATAGGCCTTGATCAGGTCAATAAAGCAGAGATGTAGGTCTTGTTGGAATTCCCTACTCCTCTGCTGTAGCAGACGGACAGAAAACATGGCATCTGTGCAGAACCGCCCTTTCCTGAAACCGCATTGGGGGTCCGCAAGTCTCCCCTCAGCGTGCCTGGCAAGGCGATACTGAATAATTATTGCCAGGACCTTTCCCGGCACACTGAGGAGTGAGATGCCCCTGTAGTTGTTACAGTCTGTGCGGTCCGCCTTCTTGAAGAGGGGGACCACCAAGGCATCCTTCCAATCCTGCGGAACCCATCCAGTGGTCCAGACTGTTGTTATGATGTCATATAGGGCAGTCTGTGCACAAACGCCACCCTCCCTCAGCATTCCGCTTGGGAGATCGTCTCTACCCGGTGCCTTTCCTGGTCTCAGACTCCGGATCGCTTTCAGTACTTCCTCAACAGATGGCACCTCAGCCAGCCACTCACAAGGGGTGACTTCTTCCAATATTTGAGGCACCGCAGCCTCAGCAGGGTCATCCCCACTTTGTGCCACGATGTTTTCCTGGCTGAGGGGTTTCCCCTCCCCCAGGACCTCACAGAAATGCTCAGCAAATCTGCAAACCTGTTCCTGGGGGTCGGAGATTGGATCACCGTTTTTTTCCTTAATTATGGTAATAGGTGTGGCGCTGCAGGTTACTTTTTTGATGGAGTTAAATAGAGATTTGTGATCGCGGGCTACTGAGGCAGACTCCATCTCCTCAGCAACCCGCGACCACCACTCATCCTTGCAGCGCCTCACGGCTCTCCAAACCTCCGAGCGAAGGCTGCTGTAAGCTTCCTCATTCTCTGACGTGGGATTCTGTAGCCGATGACAGTGGGCCTGTCGCTTTTTCTCAACTATCCTGAACATCTCCTCTGTCAGCCAGGGTCTCTGGGGAGGTCTGGACCACGTACCCAAAGCAGCTATTGCAGCTACATGAGTCACAGTACTAAACCTCGCCCATTTACCCTCGACATCAGGAGGAGTGGGGGACGATGCCAACGCCAGCTGCAAACGATGATGAAATTCTCGCTTGCAACTTTCATCAGCTGAGACCAAGCCACTTTAGATTGGAATGGGGTCCTGGGTGTACACCCACCACCAGAGGGCAGATCAGCTCCACGGTAGGTCCTGGTGTCAAGGACATGGGCTCGCATCCGCTGGTCCGTCACTATGTAGTCCAGCAGATGTTCTTGCTTGGACCCGGCATGCATCCATGATGTTGTGTAGATGCACCGATGCCGGAACAGCGTGTTGGTAATTACAAGCCCATGGGCTGCACAAAAATCTAGCAGCCTCCTACTGTTGTTATTGAGCTGATCTGGCCCATGCCCTCCAATCACTCCAGACCACACACACACACTGACACAACAACAACAACCGCCATTCACCACTAAGTGGCGGTGACATCCCCATGACGCTTGTGCCAGGCTATGTGCACCCTGAGGCCACGTGAAGTGTCGCTGGCAGGAGGTCATGGGGCAGACCCAGGTGCCACGGGTCGATTGACTGAGACACACACACACTCTGACACACACACTCTGACACACACTGACACACACACTGACACACACACTGACACACACACTGACACACACGCACGCACGACGGAGGTCGTCACGTACCTTGGGAGTGTGCGGGGTGTCGAAGAGACGCAGTGAGCGGAAGGTTTTGTGAGGGGGGGTGCCCGGCGAGGCTGCCGCTTCTCCTGCTCCACGGCACAACGACACCGGCACATCGGCAACCATTACCACCACGGTCTCCACCACAGCTACCTCCATCCACCACCCTGCCACCTGCACCTTCATCCACCACCCTGCCACCACCGGCACCTCCATCCACCACCCTGCCACGAGCACCTCCATCCACCACTCTGCCACCACCAGCACCTCCATCCACCACCCTGCCACCACCAGTAGCTCCATCCACCACCCTGCCACCACCAGCACCTCCATCCACCACCCTGCCACCACCTGCACCTCCATCCACCACCCTGCCACCACCAGCACCTCCATCCACCACCCTGCTACCACCAGCACCTCCATCCACCACCCTGCCACCACCAGCACCTCCATCCACCACCCTGCCACCTGCAGTCACGACAAAAGCTTCAAATCAAGATGAATATCAATATTCTGATCCTAATGTTGAAGTTAATTCTTAGAGTACGTAGCCAACCGTGCTAATTGGAGGCAACTACCACACAGATCGAATGCACGACATCCTGCATGCATAGCAGGCGACGAAGTCAACTACCCACGGATCTAACCCACAATCGCCCGCATGCATTGTAGTTAACGATCCACACATCGAACTCACGACCTCCTGCACACCAGGCGAGGTAGTTACCAACTACCCACTGATCTAACCCACGACCTCATTGCACACCAGGCGAGGTAGTTAACTACCTAGTGATCTAAAACACGACCTCCTGCATGCATAACAGGCGAGGTAGTTAACTACCCAGTGATCTAACACACGACCTCCTGCATGCACACCAGGCGAGGTAGTTAACTACCCAGTGATCTAAAACACGACCTCCTGCATGCATAACAGGCGAGGTAGTTAGCTACCCAGTAATCTAACACACGACCTCATTGCACTCCAGGCGTGGTAGTTAACTACCCAGTGATCTAACACACGACCTCCTGCATGCATAACAGGCGAGGTAGTTAACTACCCAGTGATCTAACCCACGACCTCCTGCATGCACACCAGGCGAGGTAGTTAACTACCCAGTGATCTAAAACACGACCTCATTGCACACCAGGCGAGGTAGTTAACTACCCAGTGATCTAACACACGACCTCCTGCATGCACAACAGGCGATGTAGTTAACTACCCAGTGATCTAACACACGACCTCCTGAATGCACACCAGGCGAGGTAGTTAACTACCCAGTGATCTAACACACGACCTCCTGCATGCATAACAGGCGATGTAGTTAACTACCCAGTGATCTAACACACGACGTCCTGCATGCATAACAGGCGAGGTAGTTAACTACCCAGTGATCTAAAACACGACCTCATTGCACACCAGGCGAGGTAGTTAACTACCCAGTGATCTAACCCACGACCTCCTGCATGCATAACAGGCGATGTAGTTAACTACCCAGTGATCTAACACACGACGTCCTGCATGCATAACAGGCGAGGTAGTTAACTACCCAGTGATCTAACACACGACCTCATTGCACACCAGGCGAGGTAGTTAACTACCCAGCGATCTAACACACGACCTCCTGCATGCATAACAGGCGAGGTAGTTAACTACCCAGTGATCTAACACACGACCTACTGCATGCATAACAGGCGAGGTAGTTAACTACCCAGTGATCTAACCCACGACCTCATTGCACACCAGGCGAGGTAGTTAACTACCCAGTGATCTAACACACGACCTCCTGCATGCATAACAGGCGAGGTAGTCAACAACTTCCCACGGATCGAACCCACGACCTCCTGCACACCGGGCGAGGTAATCAACAACTCCCCTGCCTCCACATGTTGACAAGCAGCGGCACCACCGCCCCCACTACCACCAGCAGCACCACCACCGCCACCATCACAGCCACCACCAACAGCGCCACCACCCCCACTACCACCAGCACCACCACCAGCACCACCACCATCACAGCCACCACCAACAGCGCCACCACCACCCCCACTACCACCAGCACCACCACTACTACCAGCAGGACCACCACCATCACCCCCACCACCACCAGCACCACCACTACCACCAGCAGCACCACTACCACCAGCAGGACCACCACCACCACCCCCACTACCACCAGCACCACCACTACCACCAGCAGGACCACCACTACCACCAGCACCACCACTACCACCAGCAGGACCACCACCCCCACCACCACCAGCACCACCACTACCACCCGCAGGACCACCACCATCACCCCCACCACCACTACCACCAGCAGGACCACCACCATCACCCCCACCACTACCACCAGCAGCACCACCACCACCACCCCCACCACCACTACCACCAGCACCACCACTACCACCAGCAGGACCACCACCACCACCACTACCACCAGCAGGACCACCACCATCACCCCCACCACCACCATCACCCCCACCACCACCAGCACCACCACTACCACCAGCAGGACCACCACCATCACCCCCACTACCACCAGCACCGCCACTACCACCAGCAGGACCACCACCACCACTACCACCAGCACCACCACTACCACCAGCAGGACCACCACCACCACCCCCACTACCACCAGCACCACCACTACCACCAGCAGGACCACCACCACCACCCCCACTACCACCAGCACCACCACTGCCACCAGCAGGACCACCACCATCACCCCCACCACCACCAGCACTACCACCAGCACCACCACTACCACCAGCAGGACCACCACTACCACCAGCAGGACCACCACCATCACCCCCACCACTACCACCAGCAGGACCACCACTACCACCAGCAGGACCACCACCACCACCAGCAGGACCACCACCATCACCCCCACCACCACCAGCACCACCACCACCACCATCACCCCCACCACCACCACCATCACCCCCACCACCACCATCACCCCCACCACCAGCGCCGTGCCCACCTGCGTCGCCCCCTCGCCCCCACGCCTCCCCCGCCGACGACGAAGGCGTCGGCCGCGGCCGCTTCGCCTTGACGGGCGACGGCGACTCCATGGACGCGTCCCAACACGACAGAGCCTCGCGACTCCCGTCGAGGAAGCCCGGCGTGGCCTGGGCGACTCGCCGGCCTCGGTGCGAGGCGCCCGGCGGAGGTGTCGAGGCGACCCCGAGGCTCGAGGCCTCCCGGTCGGGGGGGGTGCCGGGGCCTTCGTCGTCTTCGCCGTCGCTGAGGTAATCCAGCTTGGCGGCGACTCTCGTAAACACCGGGAAGCGGCTCATTGTGTTGTTTAAATCGGGCGACGTTTTGTTGTCGTCTTCTTATCCCAATGTTACAACTTTTTTAAGTGATAAAGTTATTTATTTTAATTCGCCCACGTTGCCTTTTGCCACCACGGGGCGGGGGGCGGGGCAGGTGGGGGGGGGGCGGGACAGGTGGGAGGGGCTTGGACCCCCCGTTCGTGACCGTTACCGCACGTGACCGGCGCTCGCACCAATGGGAAACGCGGATCGAGGTTCGAAGTGGGTGCGGTGCCGATGACGTCGCGGGAGAATGGCGGGAAAAGTGCGGAGGGGTTTTTCTTCCCCCCCCCCCCCAACTTTAGCCCCTCCCCTCCCTCGGGCCCCTCCCATACCCCTCTAGGGCTCCTCCCATACCCCTCTAAGGCTCCTCCCCCTCTAGGGACTCTCCCTCAGGCCCCTCCCATGCCCCTCTAGGGCTCCTCCCCAACCCCTCTAGGGCCCCTCCCCCTCTAGAGCCCCTCCCCTACCCCTCTTGGGCCCCTCCAGGGCCCCTCCCCAACCCCTCCAGGGCACCTCCCCTACCCCTCCAGGGCACCTCCCCTCCTCCACCAGGGCCCGGCTCCTCCTCCACCAGGCCCCCCCCTCCCCCAGGACCCCCCTTCCCCCACCACGTGGTCGCCCCCTCGTTCCAGTTTATTCAAAATATTGACACGGGGAATCCTCTACTTACGAACGCGTTCGGTTCCAGAGGCTGCTGCTGTTCCAACATTCCTCCCTGCCGGTTCAAACGCGTCGTACGACGTGGACGCTAAACACGGGAGAATGGATTTAAATGTTTTATCATCTGCAGATGCCACTGGTTCATCACGTTCTGCAGATGTAGATGCCACTGGGTCTTCACGTTCTGTAGATGCCACTGGTTCTTCACATTCTCCAGATGTAGATGCCACTGGTTCACGTTCTGCAGATGTAGATGCCACTGGTTCTTCACATTCTGCAGATGCCACTGGTTCTTCACGGTCTGCAGATGTAGATGCCACTGGTTCTTCATCTACGAAAGATGCAGATACCACTGGTTCTTCACGTTCTGCAGATGCCACTGGTTCTTCATGTTCTGTAGATGCCACTGGTTCTTCACGTTCTGCAGATGTAGATGCCACTGGTTCTTCACGTTCTGCAGATGTTACTGATTTTTCACGTTCTGCAGACGTAGATGTCACTGGTTCTTCACGTTCTGCAGACGTAGATGCCACTGGTTCTTCACGTTCTGCAGACGTAGATGTCACTGGTTCTTCACGTTCTGCAGATGTAGATGTCACTGGTTCTTCACGTTCTACAGATGTAGATGCCACTGGTTCTCCACGTTCTGCAGATGCCACTGGTTCACCTTCTGCAGATGTATATGCCACTGGTTCTTCACGTTCTGCAGATGCCACTGGTTCTTCACGTTCTGCAGATGTAGATGCCACTGGTTCTTCACGTTCTGCAGATGTAGCTGCCACTGGTTCTTCACGTTCTGCAGATGTAGATGCCACTGGTTCTTCACGTTCTGCAGATGTAGATGCCACCGATTCTTCACCTACTGCAGATGTAGATGCCACTGGTTCTTCACGTTCTGCAGATGTAGATGCCACTGGTTCTCCATGTTCTGCAGATGTAGATGCCACTGGTTCTTCACGTTCTGCAGATGTAGATGTCACTGGTTCTTCACCTACTGCAGATGGAGATGCCACTGGTTCTTCAGGTTCTGCAGATGTAGATGCCACTGGTTCTTCACGTTCTGCAGATGTAGATGTCACTGGTTCTTCACCTACTGCAGATGGAGATACCACTGGTTCTTCAAGTTCTGCAGATGTAGATGCCACTGGTTCTTCACGTTCTGCAGATGTAGATGCCACTGGTTCTTCACGTTCTGCAGATGTAGATGCCACTGATTCTTCACGTTCTGCAGATGTAGATGCCACTGGTTCTTCACGTTCTGCAGATATAGATGCCACTGGTTCTTTACGTTCTGCAGATGTAGATGCCACTGGTTCTTCACCTACTGCAGATATAGATGCCATTGGTTCATGCTCTGCAGATGTAGGTGCCACTGGTTCTTCACGTTCTGCAGATGTAGATGCCACTGGTTCTCCATGTTCTGCAGATGTAGATGCCACTGGTTCTTCACGTTCTGCAGATGTAGATGTCACTGGTTCTTCACCTACTGCAGATGGAGATGCCACTGGTTCTTCAGGTTCTGCAGATGTAGATGCCACTGGTTCTTCACGTTCTGCAGATGTAGATGTCACTGGTTCTTCACCTACTGCAGATACCACTGGTTCTTCAAGTTCTGCAGATGTAGATGCCACTGGTTCTTCACGTTCTGCAGATGTAGATGCCACTAGTTCTTCACGTTCTGCAGATGTAGATGCCACTGATTCTTCACGTTCTGCAGATGTAGATGCCACTGGTTCTTCACGTTCTGCAGATATAGATGCCACTGGTTCTTCACGTTCTGCAGATGTAGATGCCACTGGTTCTTCACCTACTGCAGATATAGATGCCACTGGTTCATGCTCTGCAGATGTAGATGCCACTGGTTCTTCATGCTCTGTAGACGTAACTCACTGTCTCCCAACTCGTATTATCCACACGCTCCCTCCTGGCCTTGGTGCCACGAAGGGCCATTGCCCGGAACGTCGGGCCACGCACACGCGCGGAGTTATTATTGACACGGCACGAATGTTGGGTCATGTTATTTAAAGAGGGCCCCGTTCGATACATCCCGATTCTGATATAAATGCGGCCTAGGTTTTCACGGTTTAACAGGTAGCAGTAGCGGGCGGCTTTCGCGACCGATACGATCCCAGGGGGTTGCCTCGCGTAAACGTAAAACGTGCGGCGTGAAACGCCGCCGCCGCCAGCCACCACCACTCGACACGGCCAATCGGTGAGGGGTTTGTGTCACGCAAGCAAACCGTGGCCAATTGAATCATTTGGCGGGAACCCCGGGGTCCCCCCGCAAAAATCAGGTCAATAATAATAATTATTTTTCAGTCCACCCACCCGCGATCCCGACAGCAACGCGCCGCCCGCCCAGACTCGCGCCAACAAGCGCCAGCAGCAGCAGGCGGCGTTCGACACGACGGGCGCCACCCCACCGGCCAAACGCGAGGCCCGGGGGGGCGTCCGCCGCGGTCGCGCGCGGCAACGCCGCCCTCCGGTCAGCCGTCGACCCTCGGCTTCTTTGCCAAGGCGAGCCCCACCGAGCCCCTCAAGGCGGTGAATTTAACGCATTTGCGTAATTTTTCAACTTTTCACGAAACTCAGCGTCCCCGAGTAGCTCTCGACGAGGCCAATCGATTGACCACTAGTTTTGTTGTTGTCGGTAAGGCGACAAGACTCGTGTCGCTACGCGGATTTTCCCACCCCGGGGGCAGTGATGGGACCCCGGGGTCCCGCCAATTGCTTCAATTAGTTCACTTGTTCGTTTGTTCAGCACTGACCGGTGTGTGTGCGTGTTGAAGAGTAAAGCGACAATTATAGTAGATCGCGACGTTTCGATCGCCACACAAGCGATCGATCGCTTGTGTGGCGATCGAAACGTCGCGAACCATTGTGATTTTTCCACGTGACTTTACCGAAAGAACCAAAGAGTATGGGTTCCTGCAGTCGTGAAAACTTCAAATCAAGTTTGCAGTATACCAATTCAGCACTAACCACAGCAGCGTTTACATTCATAGTGTAGTGTATAGTGTCGTGTATAGTGCAGTAAACCCACAACACACGTTTACAATTCGAGTAACCGTGACGTTTCTCCCTGGCGATCACGACGACGACGACAACCACCAGCATCATCAGGCGACGGCCAGAGCTGTGTAGAAATCCTCCCGTTGCCGTCATGAATAGATGGGCGGGGCGGGGCGTAGACGGTGATGTCATCACCGCTGCGAGCCTATCAGGGTGCGAAGACCAGAGAGGTGGGCGGGGCGGGCGGAGTTGAACACACGGTCACAAATTGCCATCGGTTGTGTTAATTCGGGCGCAAGCCGTGCCGATTATTAGATTGGGTTTTTTTTTTGTTTTACTGGGGGGAGGTGGGGGCGGTCTGGCTGGCTGGCTGGCTGCGGCATCACCGGTTCCACGCGCTCCCGGCGCTCAGCCTGCCTTGCCGCTGCGCCTCAGGGGGTTACCACTGGAACTACGACTCCCCCCCCCCCCCCAACCCAATTCCTGACCCGGCTCCAACGCCATCGCTTTCTGCGCGCACCTCGCCACGTCTCTCCCCCGCCGCCCCCCGGCACTCCGCCGAGCTCCTCCATTGGCTCAACTATCCGGGGGCCATCAGACCTCTGCCCCGATTTGGAGTCTGCGTCTTTCTCATATCTCTCTCATCACTACGGTGTGCTAGATGTTAACTACCTCGCCTGGTGTGCAGGAGATCTGTCACCTAGCCTGGCACAGCAGTCAACCCACGGCACCTGGGTCTGTCCCGTGACTTCCTGCACCTAGCCTGGTACAGAAGTCAGCGCATGGCACCTGCAGGGTCTGTACCGTGACCTCCTCCTGCACCTAGCCTGGCACAGAAAGTCAACCCATAACACCTGCTGGGTCTGTTCCGTGACCTCCTCCTGCACCTAGCCTGGCACAGCAGTCAACCCACGGCACCTGGGTCTGTCCCGTGACTTCCTGCACCTAGCCTGGCACAGAAGTCAGCACATGGCACCTGCAGGGTCTGTCCCGTGTCCTCCTCCTGCACCTAGCCTGGCACAGCAAGTCAACCCGCGGCACCTGCTGGGTCTGTCCCGTGACCTCCTCCTGCACCTAGCCTGGCACAGCAGTCAACCCGCGGCACCTGCTGAGTCTGTCCCGTGACCTCCTCCTGCACCTAGCCTGGCACAGCAAGTCAACCCGCGGCACCTGCTGGGTCTGTCCCGTGACTCTCCTGGCAGCGGCGAGAGAAAGCCTCCGACATTTCCCGTTATCGCCTCAAAGTGCACCCAGCCTGGCACGGAACACCAACGAGAGTCAAAACCGACGAGTCGGTTAAAGTTCACCCGTGTACTTTATTGTCATCATTCGTATTACTGAGCGCGCGCTGCGAGAGACAGGGCGGCGATGACGACGACGACGACGATGACGGGCCCATCGACGGCTCCCCTCGCGCTGTGGCCGTCTCTTCACGCCGGCCGCGGAGGCCCTGCGGCTCCTCCTGTGGGAGAGAGCACGGACAACGGACGGACACCCACGGTGGGGGGAGACTCGTGAGCATTAATTCCTGCAGCCGCTCAAGCTTTAAGTCAAGATTTAGCCGTCTCTAACGGGGGAGGGTTTCTACACAACCGTTAAGATATTCTTGGTTTTCGATTTAAAGCTTTCGTGACTCACGTAGAATGAGAATAAAATAATGAATTAATGAAATAATGTATTGCTTTCTTCTCATTCATGAGAATAAAAGAATAAAATAATAAAATAATTTATTATTTTACTCTCATTCTACGTGACTTTACCGAAAGAACCAAAGAAGAAAGAACCAAAGAAGATATTCTTTGGTTTCTTTCGGTAAAGTCGCGTAGAAGGCAAACGATAACATTTTCCTGCCGTGGCTTTTCACGCCTGATGACGATTGCCTTGTGTCGCGGTCGAAACGTCGTGAGAATTTTATTGCTTTATACATTTTTTATGACTTTATTGCTTCCCTTCCTACGTGGTGGTGACTTTACCGAAAGAACCAAGAATGTCAATCCCTGCAGTCACGAAAGCTTTAAATCAAAACTATTAAGGCCTTTCAACACAGCGGTCCCCTCCCCCCCCCAAGCTTTTTGACACCAGGGACCGGTTTCGTGGGAGACAATTTTTTTTCACGGACCGGGAGAGGTGGAGGGGGGTTCATCATTGGGGGGTCTTTCCCCCTTATCAAAGAAGCTCTCCGGCGACGTTCGTTTCTTTACTCATTGTGGCCACTCGGGGGGTCAGCTTTTCGTGGCGTTACCGACACCGCGGCCGAGACCGAGCGCGCGGCGCGGGAAAGGGGCGCGGACGGAGGCGGTCAATAATAAAATACGCAGAGTAAAACCTTGTGCGCTGCGGGTAAACTTGGCCTGCGAGGGAGTGTTTCGCAAAACGACGAGCAACATTTCTAAATGAATGTTCATTTTGATGAACGAGCGAGGGTCTTGCAACGCGAACAGCGCACGCGTACGAGCGCTTTGTACTGCCCAGCGTCACGTGATCACACAACTGACGTACGAGTGTAGTGTATAGCAGTGTAAATCGGTGTAGTGTATAGTAGTGTATAGTGTAGTGTATAGTGTAGTGTATAGTGTAGTGTATAGTGTAGTGTATAGTAGTGTATAGTGTAGTGTATAGTACAGTGTATAGTAGTGTATAGTGTAGTGTATAGCAGTGTAAATCAGTGTAGTGTGTCGTGTAGTGTATAGTAGTGTATAGTGTGTAGTGTATAGTGTAGTGTATAGTGTAGTGTGTAGTGTATAGCGTAGTGTATAGTAGTGTATAGTGTAGTGTATAGTACAGTGTATAGTAGTGTATATTGTAGTGTATAGCAGTGTAAATCAGTGTAGTGTGCCGTGTAGTGTATAGTAGTGTATAGTGTAATGTATAGTACAGTGTATAGTGTAGTGTATAGTGTAGTGTATAGCGTAGTGTATAGTTTATAGCGTAGTGTATAGTAGTGTATAGTGTAGTGTATAGTGTAGTGTATAGTACAGTGTATAGTAGCGTATAGTGTAGTGTATAGCAGTGTAAATCAGTGCAGTGTGCCGTGTAGTGTATATCGTGTCACGGTGCAGTTATTATCCCTTCTTCCATACGAGCGTCAACATTTTTTTTTTAAGCACCCTGCAAGTTTACTGCGGGGTAGTAGTCGCAGTGTGTGTGGGTGTGTCTGCGGTGCGGTACCTGGCGCTGCTCCCCATGCTGATCCTAGTGTTCCATAGGCTCGCCGCTCTTGTCCTTGTCCTTGTCGTCGCCGGGTGCGGCTGCAGCGGCCGCGTCAGCAGCGGCTGGGGCGGCTGCGGCGGCTGGGGCTGCCGCGTCAGCGGGGGCTGGAGCCTGCAGCGTGGAGACGCGGAGAGGGGCACCGAGGGACGCGCGCACGCAGACACGGTTACACACACACACACACAGTTACACACACACACACAGTTACACACACACAGTTACACACACACACACAGTTACACGGTTACACACACACACACAGTTACACACACAGACACAGTTACACACACACACACAGTTACACACACACACACAGACAGTTACACACACACACAGTTACACGGTTACACACACACACACAGTTACACACACAGACACGGTTACACACACACACGGTTACACACACACACGGTTACACACACAGACACAGTTACACACACACGCGGTTACACACACACAGTTACACACACACAGTTACACACACACAGTTACACACACACACACACGGTTACACACACACAGTTACACACACACACAGTTACACACACATACACACAGACACGGTTACACACACAGTTACACACACACACACAGTTACACACACACAAACACGGTTACAAACACACACAGTTACACACAGTTACACACACAGACACGGTTACACACGCACACAGTTACACACGCACACAGTTACACACGCACACAGTTACACACGCACACAGTTACACGCACACAGTTACACGCACACAGTTACACACACACAGTTACACACATACAGTTACACACACACACACGGTTACACACACACAGTTACATACACACACAGTTACATACACACACAGTTAAACACACACACACAGACATGGTTACACACACAGTTACATACACACAGACATGGTTACACACACATACACACAGTTACACACACATACACACAGTTACACACACATACACACACAGTTACACACACACAGTTACACACAGTTACACACACAGTTACACAAAGATCCCCCATATAGCCTTAACAGACTGTAGGGGCAAGTGCTGTTAGCGTGCACCTATGAAGGCCGGAACGGTACACGAGGGGGTGGGTGGCCAGCACCACGCCCGACCGCCTTTGTCTCCCCAGTGACGATGTTTACACACCGCACCAGGTACTCATTTGAGGCTGAGTCTACCTAGGGGAGGCCTGGGACCGGTTCAGATAATCGTCACTGATGTTGACCGTGAGCGGGAATCGAACCTGGGTCGCTAGGTTCATAGCGCAGCGCGCTAACCGCTACACTATCGCTCCCCACTGTGTGTGTGTGTGTTACACACACACAGTTACACACACAGAAACGGTTACACACACAGCAACACGCACACACAGACACACACAGACACACACACAGAGACACACACAGAGACACGCGGTTACACACACAGAGACACACAGAGACACACACACAGAGACACGCACACAGAGACACGCACACAGAGACACGCACACACACAGACACACACACACAGACACTTGCACACAGAGACACTTGCACACAGAGACACGCACACACACAGACACGCACACACACAGACACGCACACACACAGACACGCACACACAGAGACACTTGCACACAGAGACACACACAGACACTTGCACACACAGAGACACTTGCACACAGAGACACTTGCACACAGAGACACACACACAGAGACACTTGCACACAGAGACACTTGCACACAGAGACACTTGCACACAGAGACACGCACGCACACACACAGACACGCACACACAGACACTTGCACACAGAGACACTTGCACACACAGAGACACGCACACACACAGAGACACGCACACACAGACAGAGACACGCACACACACAGAGACACTCACACACACCAGTGGACCGACCCGCGTGCACGCGGGTCAAACCAAGTCAGCCGACATGCGGGGGGGGGGGTTTACACTCACGTGTCGCTGCGGCCTCTCTTCCAGCCCCTCGAGGAACTGGGAGACCCCCTCATCATCGTAGATGGTGAAGTCCATGCTCTTGCCCACAATCCCTATGGAGACGTTCTGTGGGGAGGGCGGGGGAGAGAGGGAGGGGAGGAGGGGAAGGGAGGAGAGGGCATTTGAATATATATAGTATGGTGTATAGAGTATTGTATAGTGCAATGTATAGTATAGTAGTGTATAATGTAGTAGTGTATAGTGTAATGTAGTAGTGTATAATGTAGTAGTGTATAGTGTAGTAGTGTATAGTGTAGTAGTGTATAGTGTAGTAGTGTATAGTGTAATGTATAGTGTAGTGTATAGTGTAGTAGTGTACAGTGTAGTAGTGTTAAGTGTAGTAGTGCAGTGTAGTAGTGTACAGTGTAGTAGTGTAGTGGTGTACAGTGTAGTAGTGTACAGTGTAGTGGTGTACAGTGCAGTTGTGTGCAGTGTATTAGTGTACAATGTGGTGGTGTACAGTGTAGTGGTGTACAGTGTAGTAGTGTACTGTGTAGTAGTGTATAGTATAGTAGTGTATAGCGCATTGTCATGTATAGTGTAGTTGTGTATAGTGTAGAAATGTATAGTGTAGTAGTGTATAGTGTAGTGTAGTAGTGTATAGTGTAGTAATGTATAGTGTAGTAGTGTATAGTGTAGTAGTGTATAGTGTAGTAGTGTATAGTGTAGTAGTGTATAGTGTAGTAGTGTATAGTGTAGTAGTGTATAGTGTAGTAGTGTATAGTGTAGTAGTGTATAGTGTAGTAGTGTATATTGTAGTAGTGTATAGTGTAGTAGTGTATAGTGTGGTAGTGTATAGTGTAGTAGTGTATAGTGTAGTAGTGTATAGTGTGGTAGTGTATAGTGTAGTAGTGTACAGTGTTGTGGTGTACAGTGCAGTAGTGTGCAGTGTATTAGTGTACAGTGTGGTGATGTGCAGTGTGGTGATGTACAGTGTAGTGGTGTACAGTGTAGTGGTGTACAGTGTAGTAGTGTACAGTGTAGTAGTGTATAGTATAGTAGTGTATAGCGCATTGTGTCATGTATAGTGTAGTGGTGTATAGTGTAGTAGTGTACAGTGTAGTAGTGTATAGTGTAGTAGTGTATAGTGGAGTAGTGTATAGTGTAGTAGTGTATAGTGTAGTAGTGTATAGTGTAGTAGTGTATAGTGTAGTAGTGTATAGTGTAGTAGTGTATAGTGGAGTAGTGTATAGTGTAGTAGTGTATAGTGTAGTAGTGTATAGTGTAGTAGTGTATAGTGTAGTAGTGTATAGTGTAGTAGTGTATAGTGGAGTAGTGTATAGTGTAGTAGTGTATAGTGTAGTAGTGTATAGTGTAGTAGTGTATAGTGTAGTAGTGTAGAGTGTAGTAGTGTATAGTGGAGTAGTGTATAGTGTAGTAGTGTATAGTGTATAGTGGAGTAGTGTATAGTGGAGTAGTGTATAGTGTAGTAGTGTATAGTGTAGTGTATAGTGTAGTAGTGTATAGTGTAGTAGTGTATAGTGTAGTAGTGTATAGTGTAGTAGTGTATAGTGTAGTAGTGTAGAGTGTAGTAGTGTATAGTGGAGTAGTGTATAGTGTAGTAGTGTATAGTGTAGTAGTGTATAGTGGAGTAGTGTATAGTGTATAGTGGAGTAGTGTATAGTGGAGTAGTGTATAGTGTAGTAGTGTATAGTGTAGTAGTGTATAGTGTAGTAGTGTACAGTGTAGTAGTGTATAGTGTAGTAGTGTATAGTGGAGTAGTGTATAGTGTAGTAGTGTATAGTGTAGTATTGTATAGTGTAGTAGTGTATAGTGTAGTAGTGTATAGTGTAGTAGTGTATAGTGGAGTAGTGTATAGTGTAGTAGTGTATAGTGTAGTAGTGTATAGTGTAGTAGTGTATAGTGTAGTAGTGTATAGTGTAGTAGTGTAGAGTGTAGTAGTGTATAGTGGAGTAGTGTATAGTGGAGTAGTGTATAGTGTAGTAGTGTATAGTGTAGTAGTGTATAGTGGAGTAGTGTATAGTGTATAGTGGAGTAGTGTATAGTGTAGTAGTGTATAGTGTGCCAGTGTATAGTGTAGTGTATAGTGTAGTAGTGTATATTGTAGTAGTGTATAGTGTAGTGGTGTATAGTGTGGTAGTGTATAGTGTAGTAGTGTATAGTGTAGTAGTGTATAGTGTAGTAGTGTATAGTGTAGTAGTGTATAGTATAGTAGTGTATAGTGTAGTAGTGTATAGTGTAGTAGTGTGTAGTGTAGTAGTGTATAGTGTAGTAGTGTATAGTGTAGTAGTGTATAGTGTAGTAGTGTATATTGTAGTAGTGTATAGTGTAGCAGTGTATAGTGTAGTGGTGTATAGTGTAGTAGTGTATAGTGTATAGTGGAGTAGTGTATAGTGTAGTAGTGTATAGTGTAGTAGTGTATAGTGCAGTAGTGTATAGTGTAGTAGTGTATATTGTAGTAGTGTATAGTGTAGTAGTGTATAGTGGAGTAGTGTATAGTGTAGTAGTGTATAGTGTAGTAGTGTATAGTGTAGTAGTGTATATTGTAGTAGTGTAGTAGTGTATAGTGGAGTAGTGTATAGTGTAGTAGTGTATAGTGTAGTAGTGTATCGTGTAGTGTAACATGGAGTTGTACCTTGGTCGTGAGGTCCTGCTCGTTGGGCAGAGTCTCGCGCAAGGCACGCAGTCCGTGCTTCACCAGGTCATCCAGGCTCGCTGTCACATCACCATCACCACCATCATCATCACCATCGCAACATCACCACCATCGTCACCATCACCTTCAATATCATCTCAACATCACCATTTCCACCATCATCATCACCATCCCCGTTGCAACATCACCATTATTATCGCCGCCACCATAAATTTCAAGTTAATATTATCAACATCACCACCCACAGCGATGGTGTAGTGCAGTGTTTCCATACACCGTGTATACACTACACGCAGTCTGTGTAGTACACAGTGTATACACAACGTGTAGTGTATACACAGTGTGTATTAGTGTACACACAGCGTGTAGTAGCGTACACACAGCGTGTAGTAGTATTATACACACAGCGTGTATTAGTGTACACACAGCGTGTAGTAGCGTACACACAGCGTGTAGTAGCGTACACACAGCGTGTAGTAGTGTACACACAGCGTGTAGTAGCGTACACACAGCGTGTAGTAGCGTACACACAGCATGTAGTAGCGTACACACAGCGTGTAGTAGCGTACACACAGCGTGTAGTAGCGTACACACAGCGTGTAGTAGTATTATACACACAGCGTGTAGTAGCGTACACACAGCGTGTGGTAGCGTACACACAGCGTGTAGTAGTATTATACACACAGCGTGTAGTAGCGTACACACAGCGTGTAGTAGCGTACACACAGCGTGTAGTAGCGTACACACAGCGTGTAGTAGCGTACACACAGCGTGTGGTAGCGTACACACAGCGTGTGGTAGCGTACACACAGCGTGTGGTAGCGTACACACAGCGTGTAGTAGCGTACACACAGCGTGTAGTAGCGTACACACAGCGTGTAGTAGTGTACACACAGCGTGTAGTAGCGTACACACAGCGTGTAGTAGCGTACACACAGCGTGTAGTGGCGTACACACAGCGTGTAGTAGCGTACACACAGCGTGTAGTAGTGTACAGCGCGTAGTAGTGTACACACAGCGTGTAGTAGTGTACACACAGTATGTAGTCGTAGTATATACACAGCGTGTAGTAGTGTACACACAGTGTGTAGTAGCGTACACACAGCATGTAGTAGCGTACACACAGCATGTAGTAGCGTACACACAGTGTGTAGTAGCGTACACACAGCATGTAGTAGTGTACACACAGCGTGTAGTAGCGTACACACAGCGTGTAGTAGCGTACACACAGCGTGTAGTAGCGTACACACAGTGTGTAGTAGTATATACACAGCGTGTAGTAGTGTACACACAGCGTGTAGTAGTGTATACACAGCGTGTAGTAGCGTACACACAGCGTGTAGTAGCGTACACACAGTGTGTAGTAGCGTACACACAGCATGTAGTAGCGTACACACAGCGTGTAGTAGTGTACACACAGCGTGTAGTAGCGTACACACACCGTGTAGTCGTATACACACAGCGTGTAGTAGTGTAGACACAGCGTGTAGTAGCGTACACACAGCGTGTAGTAGCGTACACACAGCGTGTAGTAGTGTACACACAGCGTGTGGTAGCGTACACACAGCGTGTAGTAGCGTACACACAGCGTGTAGTAGTGTACACACAGCGTGTGGTAGCGTACACACAGCGTGTAGTAGCGTACACACAGCGTGTAGTAGTGTACACACAGCGTGTAGTAGCGTACACACAACGTGTAGTAGCGTACACACAGCATGTAGTAGCGTACACACAGCGTGTAGTAGCGTACACACAGCGTGTAGTAGTATACACAGCGTGTAGTAGCGTACACACAGCGTGTAGTAGCGTACACACAGCGTGTAGTAGCGTACACACAGCGTGTAGTAGCGTACACACAGCGTGTAGTAGTGTACACACAGCGTGTAGTAGAGTACACACAGCGTGTAGTAGAGTACACACAGCGTGTAGTAGTGTACACACAGCGTGTAGTAGAGTACACACAGCGTGTAGTAGTGTACACACAGCGTGTAGTATTATACACACAGCGTGTAGTAGTATACACAGCGTGTAGTAGAGTACACACAGCGTGTAGTAGCGTACACACAGCGTGTAGTAGTGTACACACAGCGTGTAGTAGCGTACACACAGCGTGTAGTAGCGTACACACAGAGTGTAGTAGTGTACACACAGCGTGTAGTATATACACACAGCGTGTAGTAGTGTACACACAGCGTGTAGTAGTGTACACACAGCGTGTAGTAGCGTACACACAGCGTGTAGTAGCGTACACACAGCGTGTAGTAGCGTACGCACAGCGTGTAGTAGCGTACACACAGCGTGTAGTAGCGTACACACAGCGTGTAGTAGCGTACACACAGCGTGTAGTAGCGTACACACAGCGTGTAGTAGCGTACACACAGCGTGTAGTAGCGTACACACAGCGTGTAGTAGTGTACAGCGTGTAGTATCGTACACACAGCGTGTAGTAGCGTACACACAGCGTGTAGTAGCGTACACACAGCGTGTAGTAGCGTACACACAGCGTGTAGTCGTAGTATGTACACAGAGCGTGTAGGGGCTGTGGTAGTGTGGAGTAATCTCACCATCGGAAAACTCCCCCATGTGTCTCTCCAGGTAGGTGCGCGCCGACTGTGAGCGAGCTCCGATGGACATCGCCTTGCACTGGAAGTAGTTGGCAGAGGGGCAGGTCTGGTAGATGTGAGGGCCGTTCTCCTGCGAGGAGAGGAGGGGAGGAGACGGGAGAGGTGGGGGGTTGCGAGGACAGCTATAGAATCAACGTGACAACGGAAGGGGTTTTTACACGCTTGCTTTTAACTCGCTGTCCGTTGTCGTTGTTATCATTAGAGCTCCTTTGCCAGTACCAAAATATAATAATAGGGTTTTTCCCCTTTTTTTTCTGTCAACAAAACTGAGACCTTTTTTTACGAGGATTCATGTTTACTGCATTAACCACGATGCTTGCGGTCAAAACGCAAACAAAAAACACATTCTGATAATAGATGCATTGTCCTTGAAACTGATTGGTCCACACCAGAGACAGCTTTCTCTGGTGAGTGTGGGGGGTGAGTGAGAGTGGGGGTGAGTGAGTGAGAGAGAGTGGGGGTGAGTGAGAGTGGGGGTGAGTGAGTGAGAGAGAGTGGGGGTGAGTGAGAGTGGGGGTGAGTGAGTGAGAGAGAGTGGGGGTGAGTGAGAGTGGGGGTGAGTGAGTGTGGGGGTGAGTGAGTGAGTGAGAGTGGGGGTGAGTGAGAGTGGTGAGTGAGTGAGAGTGGGGGGTGAGTGAGTGTGGGGGTGAGTGAGAGTGGGGGTGAGTCAGTGTGGGGGTGAGTGAGTGAGAGAGAGTGGGGGTGAGTGAGAGTGGGGGTGAGTGAGTAAGTGTGGGGGTGAGTGAGTCAGTGTGGGGGTGAGTGAGAGTGGGGGGTAAGTGAGAGTGGGGGTGAGTGAGAGTGGGGGTGAGTGAGTGTGGGGGGTGAGTGAGTGAGAGTGGGGTGAGTGAGTGAGAGTGGGGGGTGAGTGAGAGTGGGGGTGAGTGAGATTGGGGGTGAGTGAGTGAGAGTGGGGGTGAGTGAGTGAGAGTGGGGGGTGAGTGAGTGAGTGAGAGTGGGGGTGAGTGAGTGTGGGGGGTGAATGAGTGAGAGTAGGGGGTGAGTGAGTCAGTGTGGGGGTGAGTGAGTCAGTGTGGGGGGTGAGTGAGAGTGGGGGGTGAGTGAGAGTGGGGGGTGAGTGAGTGAGAGTGGGGGTGAGTGAGTGAGAGTGGGGGGTGAGTGAGTGAGAGTGGGGGTGAGTGTGGGAGGTGAGTGAGTGAGTAAGGGTGGGGGTGAGTGAGTGAGTGTGGGGGGTGAGTGAGTGTGGGGGTGAGTGAGAGTGGGGGTGAGTCAGTGTGGGGGTGAGTGAGTGAGAGAGAGTGGGGGTGAGTGAGAGTGGGGGTGAGTGAGTAAGTGTGGGGGTGAGTGAGTCAGTGTGGGGGTGAGTGAGAGTGGGGGGTAAGTGAGAGTGGGGGTGAGTGAGAGTGGGGGTGAGTGAGTGTGGGGGGTGAGTGAGTGAGAGTGGGGGTGAGTGAGTGAGGGTGGGGGGTGAGTGAGAGTGGGGGTGAGTGAGATTGGGGGTGAGTGAGTGAGAGTGGGGGTGAGTGAGTGAGAGTGGGGGGTGAGTGAGTGAGAGTGTGAGTGAGTGAGAGTGGGGGTGAGTGAGTGTGGGGGGTGAGTGAGAGTAGGGGGTGAGTGAGTCAGTGTGGGGGTGAGTGAGCCAGTGTGGGGGGTGAGTGAGAGTGGGGGGTAAGTGAGAGTGGGGGGTGAGTGAGTGAGAGTGGGGGGTGAGTGAGTGAGTGAGAGTGGGGGTGAGTGAGTGAGTGAGAGTGGGGGTGAGTGAGTGAGAGTGGGGGTGAGTGAGTGAGAGTGGGGGGTGAGTGAGTGAGAGTGGGGGGTGAGTGAGTGTGGGGGGTGAGTGAGTGAGAGTGGGGGTGAGTGAGTGAGAGTGGGGGGTGAGTGAATGAGTGAGAGTAGGGGGTGAGAGTGGGGGGCCCGTGAGTGAGTGTGGGAGGTGAGTGAGTGAGAGTGGGGGGCCCGTGAGTGAGTGCGAGTGGGGGGCCCGCGAGTGAGAGCGAGCCTCACGTCGTATCCCGCGATGAGCAGGCCGACCCCGTAGGGGCGCCGCCCGTAGCGCTGCGTGGGCACCTGGGTCTCTGTGCGGCGGCGCTCAGGGAAACTCCGCACCACCCCTTGCCACACCGTGGGTGGGTGACCGAGCGAGTGACGCCGTGGGTGGGTGACGAGGTGGGTGACGAGGTGGGGGAGCGACACCGTGGATGGGTGACGAGGTGGGTGAGCGACTAGGTGGGTGAGCGACACCGTGGGTGGGTGACGAGGTGGGGGAGTGACACCGTGGGTGGGTGACGAGGTAAGTGAGCGAGTGACACCGTGGGTGGGTGACGAGGTGGTTGAGCGACACCGTGGGTGGGTGACGAGGTGGGTGACGAGGTGGGTGACGAGGTGGTTGAGCGACACCGTGGGTGGGTGACGAGGTGGGGGAGTGACACCGTGGGTGGGTGACGAGGTGGGTAAGCGAGTGACACTGTGGGTGGGTGACGAGGTGGGTGAGCGAGTGACACTGTGGGTGGGTGACGAGGTGGGTGAGCGAATGACACTGTGGGTGGGTGACGAGGTGGACGAACGACACCGTGGATGGTCGAGTGACACTGCGGGTGGGCGGGCGACGCCTCGCGCGCGTGACAGTGTGGGTGAGCGAGTGACGAGGTGGGTGAGCGAGTGACGAGGTGGGTGAGCGAGTGACACTGTGGGTGGGTGACGAGGTGGGTGAGTGATTGACGCCTCGCGCGGGTGACGAGGTGGGGGAGAATACTGTTGCCGATGAGTGCGACGAGATGGGTGAGCGAGTGACAGTGTGGGTGAGCGAGTGACAGTGTGGGTGGGTGACGAGGTGGGTGAGCGAGTGACACTGTGGGTGGGTGACGAGGTGGGGGAGTGACACCGTGGGTGGGTGACGAGGTGGGTGAGCGAGTGACACTGTGGGTGGGTGACGAGGTGGGGGAGTGACACCGTGGGTGGGTGACGAGGTGGGTGAGCGAGTGACAGTGTGGGTCAGCGAGTGACGAGGTGGGTGAGCGAGTGACTAGGCGGGTGAGCGAGTTACAGTGTGGGTCAGCGAGTGACAGTGTGGGTGGGGTGACGAGGTGAGTGAGCGAGTGACACTGTGGGTGGGTGACGAGGTGGGTGAGCGAGTGACAGTGTGGGTGGGTGACGAGGTGGGTGAGTGATTGACGCCTCGCGCGGGTGACGAGGTGGGGGAGGATACTGTTGCCGATGAGTGTGACGAGGCGGGAGATGGGCAGGGCCGTGTCGTAGACGAACCTCGAGTTCAGGCACTCCTGCCTCATGAAGTTGCTGCACGCACACAACACAGACAAAGGTCCCCCGTGTAGCCTTCCGCGGACAGTTGGGGCAAGCATAATACAGGTTTTTTTTGGGGTTAGATCGCGTAGAACTATAAATGTTGTTGCATCATTAAACCCGCGTAACCTGTGGTTATGAGTGTGGTTGTATGACTGTGAGTGTGACTGTGAGTGTGACTGAGAGTGTGACTGTGTGTGTGAGTGTGACTGTGTGTGTGACTGTGTGTGTGACTGTGTGTGTGATTGTGACTGTGTGTGTGACTGTGTGTGTGACTGTGTGTGTGACTGTGAGTGTTACTGTGAGTGTGACTGTGTGTGTGACTGTGAGTGTTACTGTGAGTGTGACTGTGTGTGTGACTGTGTGTGACTGTGTGTGTGACTGTGTGTGTGACTGTGTGTGTGACTGTGTGCTTGCGAGTGTGATGGGTGCGGTTGTACGAGTGTGAGTCACTGTGTGATAGTCAGTGTGGTTATGAGTGTGGTTATGAGTGTGGTTGTGAGTGTGGTTATGAGTGTGGTTGTGAGTGTGACTGTGGGGAGCGGTAGGTGTAGCGGTTAGCGCTACGCTGCGCTACGAACCCGGCGACCCGAGTTCGATTCCCGCTCACGGCCAATACCGGTGACGATTATCTGAACCGGTCCTGGGCCTCCCCTAGGTCGACTCGGACTCAAATGAGTTACCTGGTGCGGTGTGCAGTAAACATCGCTAGCACTGGGGAGACAAAGGCGGCCGGGCGTGGTGCTGGCCACCCACCCCCTCGTGTGCCGTGCCGGCCTTCATGGGTGCTCGCTAACGGCACTTGCCCCTACAGTCTGTTAAGGCTATACGGGGGATCTTTGTCTTTATCTTTGTGTGTAACTGTGTGTGTATGTGTGTGTAACTGTGTGTATGTGTGTGTAACCATGTATGTGTAACTGTGTGTGTGTGTAACTGTGTGTGTGTAACTGTGTGTGTATGTAACTGTGTGTATGTGTGTGTAACTGTGTGTGTATGTGTGTGTAACTGTGTGTATATGTGTGTAACCATGTATGTGTGTGTAACTGTGTGTGTGTAACTGTGTTACACACACACAGTGTAACTGTGTTACACACACACAGTGTAACTGTGTTACACACACACAGTACGTGCCAGCGAGCGTGGCGGGCAACGTTACCAGAGCAGGCGCGCGTCTGCCGTGAGCCCCGCGATGGAGATGCCCACGTGGTTGTCCACGTTCAGAATCTTCTTCTGGTGGGCGGCCAGCTCCGACTGGGCCCTCTGCGACGACACAAAGACAAAGGTCCCCCGTGCAGCCTGTAACAGACTGTTGGGGCAAGTTGCCGACAGCGAGCACCTGTGAAGGCTGCCGCTGTGGTGTGACGAGGGGGTGGGTGGCCAGCACCACGCCCGGCCGCCTTTGTCTCCCCGGTGGCGACGTTTACGAATGCACACCGCGCCAGCTACTCATTTGAGGCCGAGTCCACCTAGCGGAGGCCCAGGACGGGTGCAGATAATCGCCACTGGGGTGTTGGTGGCCATGAGCGTGGTTCAGGTTACAGCTCCCACCTTTGCGCGAGTCTGTTACACGTCACTGTGTGTTACTGTGTATGTTAGTGTGTGTACGAGTGTGTGTGTGTGTGCGAGCGTGTTAGTTCCGTGTTAACCCGTGTGTGTGTGGTTCAGGTTACAGCTCCCACCTTGCGCGAGTTTGTTAAGTGTCACTGTGTTAGTGCGAGTACGTTAGCGTGTGTATAAGAGTGTGTGTGTGAGCGTGTTAGTTCCGCGTGTGTGTGCGAGTGTGTTAGTTCCGTACGTGTGTGTGTGGTTCAGGTTACAGCTCCCACCTTGCGCGAGTTTGTTAAGTGTCACTGTGTTAGTGCGAGTACGTTAGCGTGCGTATAAGAGTGTGTGTGTGAGCGTGTTAGTTCCGTACGTGTGTGTGTGTGTGGTTCAGGTTACAGCTCCCACCTTGCGCGAGTTTGTTAAGTGTCACTGTGTTAGTGCGAGTACGTTAGCGTGTGTATAAGAGTGTGTGTGAGTGTGTTAGTTCCGCGTGTGTGTGTGTGTGCGTGCGAGTGTGTTAGTTCCGTAAGTGTGTGTGTGAGTGTGTTAGTTCCGTACGTGTGTGTGTGAGCGTGTTAGTTCCGTACGTGTGTGTGTGTGTGCGTGTTAGTTCCGTACGTGTGTGTATGCGTGTGTGTGTGAGCGTGTTAGTTCCGTACGTGTGTGTGTGTGCGTGTGAGTGTGTTAGTTCCGTACGTGTGTGTGTGTGCGTGTGAGTGTGTTAGTTCCGTACGTGTGTGTGTGTGTTTGCGTGTTTGTTAGTTCCGTACGTGTGTGTGTGTACGTGCGAGGGTGTTAGTTCCGTACGTGTGTGTGCGAGCGTGTTAGTTCCGTACGTGTTTGTGTATGTGCGTGCGAGCGTGTTAGTTCCGTACGTGTGTGTGTGCATGTTAGTTCCGTACGCGTGTGTGTGTGTGGTTCAGGTGACAGCTCTCACCTTGAGCGCCACGATCACTGCGTGAGTCTTAGACTTGAGCCCCACGGTGGCCGAGCCCTGCTTGACGGCCTCCATGGCATACTCGATCTGGTGTATACGCCCCTGTGGACACACACATATACACACACACATACATACACACACACAAACATACACGCACATACACGCACAAACATACACACACATATACATACAACAACCGCAATTCGGCACTAAGTGGCGGTGACGTCACCACAACGCTTGTGCCAGGCCATGTGCACCTTGAGGCCACGTGAAGTGTCGAACGCCCGCTGGCAGGAGGTATATACACAACAACCGCCATTCGCCACTAAGTGGCGGTGACGTCACCACGACACTTGTGCCAGGCTATGTGCACCTTGAGGCCACGCGCACACATACACACATACATACATATAGACACATACACATATATATAAACACACATATACACATACATACACAACAACAACTGCCATTCGCCACTAAGTGGCAGTGACGTCACCACGACGCTTGTGCCAGGCTATGTGCACCTTGAGGCCACGTGCACACATACACACATACATATACACATACATACATACACATGTGCACATACATACACAACAACAACCTCCATTTGCCACTAAGTGGCAGTGACGTCACCACGACGCTTGTGCCAGGCTTATGTGCACCTTGAGGCCATACAACAACAACAACCGCCATTCGCCACTAAGTGGCGGTGACGTCACCACGACGCTTGTGCCAGGCTATGTGCACCCTGAGGCCACGTGAAGTGTCGAACGCCCGCTGGCAGGAGGTCACGGGGCAGACCCAGGTGCCACGGGTCGACTGACTGAGATGACTGGCTGATGCACCACCTGTGCCCCCTACTGTGCCAACCTGCTGTGCTTTAGCCACCCGGCGCTCCGCTCGCTGTTGTGAGCGTCGCTCCTCCGCCCTCCGTTGTTGTTGGAGGGCGACTGCCTCCAACTGCCCAGTAGCATCCTTCACGAGCCTCCTCCACAGAGGCCGATCTTGACACCGCTGGTACCAGTCATCGGCAAGTCCACTCAGCTCCACGTCCTCCTGTACCACATCACTCCATCTCTTCTCTAGCCCGTGCCGCGCCCGCTTAGCCCCCTCAATCCGGCCAAACAAAAGCTGTTTCGGCATGCGGTGGCTGGGCATGCGGGCTACATGACCCAGCCATCGCAGCCTTGCCTGCCGGAGGAGCTCACCGATGGGACCCTGCCCAGATCTTTCAAGGATTTGTGAGCTCCTCACACAATCCAGTCTGGTTAAACCCAGGATGGATCGTAGGCAGGTCAGCCTAAATGTTTCTAACCGGCGAAGATGTTCCATTAGGGGGGTCCACGTTTCGCAAGCGTAGAGAAGGGAGGGAATGACCGTGGCCGAGAAGACCTGAAGCTTAGTGCGGAGCGACAGACCAGGTAGCTTCCACACAGCGTTACGCAACCGATGAAAAGATATTGCCGCTCGACTGATTCGGAGTGAGACCTCTGCTGTTAAACTGGAGCCAGTCATAAGCACACTGCCCAGGTATGGGAAACTCTCCACTCTCTCCACAACTGCCCCATCACCGATTGGGAGTTGTGGGGGTGGAGTGTCCGATGGTACAAAATACCCAGGCAGGTGCTTAGTTTTGGTGGGGCTGATGGTAAGGCCCCACCTCTTAGTGGCACGCTCCAGTCTCAGCAGCAGCGTCTCCAACTCCTCCTCTGACTGAGCAGCTATTACCAAGTCATCAGCATACATAACGTGGTTGAGCAATAGGGAGCCATCCCTTGACCGCACCCGGGCATCGATTAGCCTCCCATTATATCTGTACCATATGGAGATTCCCCCGGTACAGCTATTGAAGGCTTCACGAACTACGTGGTCAAAATAGATGTTAAATAATGTGGGAGCCAGAGGACATCCCTGTCGCACCCCAAGGTGTACAGGGAATGGCTCTGACTCCCGGCCACGTAGTTTTACCCGGGCCCGCTCACCATCATGAAGGTCCTTAATGATCGTGAGCAGAGGGTCAGGTACTCCAAAAGCACGAAGAACGACCCAGAGCCCAGGCCTACTGATGGTATCATAGGCCTTGACCAGGTCAATAAAGCAGAGATGTAGGTCTTGTTGGAATTCCCTACACCTCTGCTGTAGCAGACGGACAGAAAATATGGCATCTGTGCAGGACCGCCCTTTCCTGAAACCGCATTGGGGCTCCGCAAGCCTCTCCTCAGCGTGCCTGGCAAGGCGATGCTGAATAATCCTTGCCAGGACCTTTCCCGGCACACTGAGGAGTGAGATGCCCCTGTAGTTGTTACAGTCTGTGCGGTCCCCCTTCTTAAAAAGGGGGACCACCAGGGCATCCTGGTGTGCGTATGAGGCCATACGCACACATACACACACACATATACACACGTACACGATTCTGACATGGCTACAATGAACTCTCCCCCCCCTCCCTTTCACCCCCGCGCGTCGATCTACCTGAGGGCTCCACACCGTCACGTCGTTGTCATACTGGTTGCGGAACTGCAAACGACACAAACACAACGAGACACAGGGCATCAGACGGACGCGGTTGATGAGTTGAACACAGAGTTAGCGCAAAAATAAGTAATAATATTTTTTTTAACTTTTTTTTTTAAACACGCTTTAATGAAATGTACCGTACTAGTAATGGCAAAACTCCACGACTCCAGGAAGTTGTCCCCGAAGTTTTCCACAACGTAAGGGGACCGTGGCCGATTTACAGCCGTCAGTTGAGCGTGGACAATTAGAGCCAAGCCGAAACATAATATGTAAAAATGATTGTTTAAAAATATTTATTTCAAATTTAATGATAGAATATAGTATTGTCATCAGTAAGACATAAGTATACCAAGTTTGCAGTCGATACCACGTTGGGAAGTGGGTGAACATTGAGTTGCAAGATTTGAGGATACAACAACAGACAGCGTGAGTTAATAAAAAGTGTGTAAAATAAAAATAGATAAAATAAATCTATTAAACTTCCCGTCATGTTCAACGGTGGACACTTTAGTAAATCGTCACGGGAGCGGGGAGGGGGGGGGGTTGTGGGGGTTTGGGGAGCGGTGGCGCACGAGTTAAGTCGACGTTACGGGAAACGCCCCTTCTTTACTAACATGGTGATGTTTCGAGAAACGACCCTTATCCAGGCTCAAATCCCTCGCCTAAACCTCCCAGCAAAAAGCTTCGCATCAGTGCCGGTGGGGGTGGTGGGGGTGGTGGGGGTGGTGGTAGGGGTGGTGGTAGGGGTGGTGGGGGTGGTGGTAGTAGGCGTGGGGGTGGTAGTAGGCGTGGGGGTGGTGGTGATGGTTGTGGTAGGGGTGGTGGTAGTAGGCATGGGGGTGGTGGTGATGGTGGGGATGGTGGTGGTGGTAGGGGTGGTGGTAGGCGTGGGGGTGGTGGTGGTGGTGATGGTGGTGGGGGTAGGGGTGGTGGTGGTGGTAGGGGTGGTGGGGCTGGTGGTGGTGGTGGTAGGGGTGGTGGTAGTAGGCGTGGGGGTGGTGGTGATGGTGGGAATGGTGGTGGTAGTAGTAGGCGTGGGGGTGGTGGTGATGGTGGGGATGGTGGTGGTGGTGGTAGGGGTGGTGGTAGTATGCGTGGGGGAGGTGGTGATGGTGGGGATGGTGGTGGTGGTAGGGGTGGTGGTAGTAGGCGTGGGGGTGGTGGTGATGGTGGGGATGGTGGTGGTGGTAGTAGGCGTGGGGGTGGTGGTGGGGATGGTGGTGGTGGGGTTGGTGGGGCTGGTGGTGGGGCTGGTGGTGGTGGATGGGTTCCGATTTGAACACAAAAATAATAATCGCATCTACCCGCTCTATTTTTTTGGGAACTAAACAGGAGCACACACAAATCTGGCTAACCGCCTGATGATGCTGGTTGCAATTACTGGCAAAACATCGTACTTAAAACTGTAAATGTTGTGGATTTAATCTTGATTTGAATATTTCGTGACTGCAGGAATCCATACTCTCCAACACAATTGGTGTAGTTACTACACTCTATACACTACACTAAACTATACACTACACTAAACACTACACTATACACCACACTATACACTCCACTGTACACTACACACAACACTGTACACTACACACAACACTGCACACTACACTATACAATACTATACACTACACTATACACTCCACTATACTATACACTACAATATACACTACACTACACACTACTATACACTACAATATACACTACACTCTACACTACACCATATACTACACACTACTATATACACTACACTACTACATACACTACACACTACTATACACTACACTCCATACACTACTATATACACTACACTATACACTACACTACTATATACACTACACTACTAAACACTCCACTACACACTACATTGCTATACACTACACCACTAAACACTACACTATACACTAAACGATACACTGTAAACATTGTAGTAGATCTACTCTCCCAACACACAATCGGTGTCGCGCTGTACTAATAACGAATTGGCAAGTTCTGTTTAGGTGATACGAACCCTGCGATTGGCCGTGTCGGGTGGTGGCGGTGCTTAACGACACAACAATTTACATATTTACGCGATTTAACCCAAAAAACAAACCCTCCGTTGTGAATATATAGCGACCGATTATTTTTTTAATCCGATGTCGATTGTAAATGTGAATGTTAAAAAAAAAACTTTTTTTAAGATTTACGCGGTTCGATCTAACCCACAACAAAAAAAACTAGAGGGCTCTCTTGTTACGGACGACAAAAATTGTGGGGCAAATTATTTTTTGTGTTTCGTTTTAAATCCGCGCGGAATTAAACATTACATTTGTAACCAACATTTACGAATCCAACGTTGCTGCGACGTTGGATTCGTGCAAAGCGATTAAAATAAATGTTAAGTAACAAAAAGATGAAAACTAAAGTTAACTACAAAATATATTAAAACAAATGTAAAATAACAAATATAATAAAAAACTTTTAATTTAAAAAAATATCGTGCAAAAATTTAGCCGAATCATCGCCTGGAACAGGCCCAGGCTTCAGTGGAACATTGCATTTAAATAAAAAAACAATTACAACACGGTTAGCAATAAAAAAGGAGAGCAAATGTAAAAAAAAAGCGCTGCACGCTTTTTCAAACGTTTTGTCGTTTGTAACGTTTCGAATCAAAAGGCGTAAAGAATAAAATTAAACGCAACACTTGAAGGGTTCAGCCTAGCTTAGGCCGAGGCGGTGAGCGTCAACTCCCGCGAACTGCGTGAGGCTGAATGGGGAAAATAAACCCCCCAATGTCAACGAGGCGTTTAAGAGGAGGCTCGTTTCGTTTCTTCTACAAAATGAGGGTACAAAAAGAAATAATTTTGAATGGTAAAAAAATAAATGTGTAATTTTTTTTAAACTCCACTCACCATTGTGGACTCGGCAGTTGACGGGAGGATCGCGACTTGAGGGAAGCGAGCCGATCGGATGTGACGTCACCACCTCGTCACCCCCCTCGTCACCACCCCCCCCTCGTCACCCCCCCCCCCTCGTCACCCCCCCCCCTCGTCACCACCCCCCTCGTCACCACCCCCCTCGTCACCACCCCCCCTCGTCACCCCCCACCCCTCGTCAGTCATTCCCCCCTCGTCACCCCGACCTCGTCACCCCCCCCCCCCAACCACCCCACTGTAGTCACCCCCCCCACCACCACCCCCACCACCGATCGAATCGATCGGCAATCCATTAACGCTGCCAACTGACGAACGCTGCGCACGTGGAACAGATGGGGATTAGTCCACCCACGGCTAGAAGGGAGCGAGATGGAACAGATGGGGATTCGTCCACCCACGGCTAGAAGGGAGCGAGATGGAACAGATGGGGATTAGTCCACCCACGGCTAGAAGGGAGCGAGATGGAACAGATGGGGATTAGTCCACCCACGGCAAGAAGGGAGCGAGATGGAACAGATGGGGATTAGTCCACCCACGGCTAGAAGGGAGCGAGATGGAACAGATGGAGATTAGTCCACCCACGGCAAGAAGGGAGCGAGATGGAACAGATGGGGATTAGTCCACCCACGGCTAGAAGGGAGCGAGATGGAACAGATGGGGATTAGTCCACCCACGGCAAGAAGGGAGCGAGATGGAACAGATGGGGATTAGTCCACCCACGGCTAGAAGGGAGCGAGATGGAATAGATGGGAGATTAAATTTTGATTTAAAGCTTTCGTGACTGCAGGGATTCATATTCTTGGTTCTTTCGGTAAAGTCACCACCACGTAGATAGGGAAACAATAAGATAATAAAAATATATAAAACAATAAAATTCTCACGACGTTTCGACTGCAACACAGGAAGCAATCGTCATCAGGTGTGAAAACAACAAGAAAAAATAAAAAAGTGGCGGTAATTTTTTTAACGTTAGCAACCACGGAGAGCGATTTGACATTTGTTCAGATGGACGAGTCCATCTATGTTCGGTATAGAGGAGGGGGGGAGACGAAAAAAGAATGGATGCGGTCAGAAAGCCACCTTAAGCGTGATCAATCAATTTTTTTTTATTTAAAGCTTTCGTGACTGCAGTAATTCATATTCTAAGCTCTTTCGGTAAAGTCACGTTGAAGGCAAACAATAAAATAATAAAATATATATAAAACAATAAAAATTCTCACGTTTCGACCATAACACAAACGGGCATCATCAGGTGACCTGAGAATTTTTATTGTTTTATATATTTTATTATTTTATTGTTTCCCTTCAACGTGACTTTACCGAAAGAGCTAAGAAAACGTGATCAATCAATTTGTGATAGCGAGGTCGCTTCTGCAAAATAACTTACGCAGCTTAGTGGCCTTAACTGGTAAAATAAAGTCAGGTAGGTATAAAATTAAAAAATATATACCTACGTAAATTTACAGAAAGAACCAAAGAGTATGGATTCCTGCAATCACGAAAGCTTCAAATCAAGATTGGTAAAATAAACGGAGTAAGACTCGAATGTCCAACGGTCGCAAATGTTTTTATTCAACTTTTCCCGCGAGAAAAACATTTGAAACTCCTGGTTTTTTTCCTCCTTATGTACATCAGCCACACAGCACAATCATCAGAGAGTGCAATTAGCGAAAGCCACAGATTCAGAGAGAGACACCCAGACACAGGGCTCGAACCCAGGTACCCAGGAGTGCTGACCCACTGTCTCTGACACGGCCATTATGAACCCCATGTAAGAGAGAGACACCCAGACCCAGGGCTCGAACCCAGCAGTGCTGACCCAGTGTCTCTGACATGGCCATTATGAACCCCATGTAAGAGAGAGACACCAGGACCCAGGGCTCGAACCAAGGCACCCAGGAGTGCTGACCCAGTGTCTCTGACACGGCCATTATGAACCCCATGTAAGAGAGAGACACCCAGACCCAGGGCTCGAACCCAGGCACCCAGGAGTGCTGGCTCAGTGTCTCTGACACGGCCATTATGAACCCCATGTAAGAGAGAGACACCCAGACCCAGGGCTCGAACCCAGGCACCCAGGAGTGCTGACCCAGTGTCTCTGACACGGCCATTATGAACCCCATGTAAGAGAGACACACCCAGACCCAGGGCTCGAACCCAGACACCCAGGAGTGCTGACCCAATGTCTCTGACACGGCCATTATGAACCCCATGTAAGAGAGAGAGACACCCAGACCCAGGGCTCGAACCCAGGTACCCAGGAGTGCTGACCCAGTGTCTCTGACACGGCCATTATGAACCCCATGTAAGAGAGAGAGACACCCAGACCCAGGGCTCGAACCAAGGCACCCAGGAGTGCTGACCCAGTGTCTCTGACACGGCCATTATGAACTCCATGTAAGAGAGAGACACCCAGACCCAGGGCTCGAACCCAGGCACCCAGGAGTGCTGACCCAGTGTCTCTGACACGGCCATTATGAACCCCATGTAAGAGAGAGACACCCAGACCCAGGGCTCGAACCCAGGCACCCAGGAGTGCTGGCTCAGTGTCTCTCAACGCATCCTCTCCGTGGGGTGACGGGTGGTAGGGCAGGCTCCTTCTCCACTCGCCTCCTCGTCTCTCCGCTCCGGGTTGATGTTGATGCCGACGATGATGATGCCGACGATGTTGACGGTGACGATGTTGACGATGATGATGCTGACGATGGTGAAGATGATGATGCTGATGATGACGACGAACATAATGGACGCCGCATTGAATAGGATCGGCTTCCCGACAGCGTCTGCACACGCACGCACGCACGCACGGACACAAAGACAAAGATCCCCCATGTAGCCTTAAAACACAGACTGTTGGGGCAAGAGTAGCACCTGGGAAGGCCGGCACCGTGGCACACAAGCGGGTGGTTGGGCGGCCGGCACCGCGCCCGCCTGGCCCCGCCTTCGTCTCCCCGGTGGAGATGTTTACGACACATCCACACAAACGCTTCGATTGGAATCTCATTCCTTCAGAGCCGCTTTCTGTGCTTTTTTTAGTTTGTTGTCCCGCGCCTTCACCTACGGTGAGCGCCATCGGCTGCACACGGTGCAAAGGAAGTGCAACACGCACACACACAGCTCACAAACAACGAGCAGAGCGCCGGGTGGCTAAAGTACAGCAAGTTGGCACAGTAGGGGGCACAGGTGGTGCATCAGCCAGTCATCTCGGTCATCTCAGTCAGTCGACCCGTGGCACTTGGGTCTGCCCCGTGACCTCCTGCCAGAGGGCGTTCGACACTTCACGTGGCCTCAAGGTGCACATGGCCTGGCACAAGCGTCGTGGTGACGTCACCGCCACTTAGTGGCAAATGGCGGTTGTTGTTGCCTAAACAGCTTTTGTTTGGGCCGGATCGATGGGGCTAAACGGGCGCGGCACGGGGCTAGTGAAGAGATGGAGTGATGTGGTACAGGAGGCACGGGCTAGTGAAGAGATGGAGTGATGTGGTACAGGAGGCACGGGGCTAGAGAAGAGATGGAGTGATGTGGTACAGGAGGCACGTGGCTAGAGAAGAGATGGAGTGATGTGGTACAGGAGGCACGGGGCTAGAGAAGAGATGGAGTGATGTGGTACAGGAGGCACGGGCTAGAAAAAAGATGGAGTGATGTGGTACAGGAGGCACGGGCTAGAGAAGACATGGAGTGATGTGGTACAGGAGGACGTGGAGCTGAGTGGACTTGCCGATGACTGGTACCAGCGGTGTCAAGATCGGCCTCTGTGGAGGAGGCTCGTGAAGGACGCTACTGGGCAGTTGGAGGTAGTCGCCCTCCAACAACAACGGAGGGCGGAGGAGCGACGCTCACAACAACGAGCGGAGCGCCGGGTGGCTAAAGCACAGCAGGTTGGCACAGTAGGGGGCACAAGTGGTGCATCAGCCAGTCATCTCAGTCATCTCAGTCAGTCGACCTGTGGCACCTGCTGGGTCTGCCCCGTGACCTCCTGCCAGCGGGTGTTCGACACTTCACGTGGCCTCAGGGTGCACATGTCCTGGCACAAGCGTCGTGGTGACGTCACCGCCACTTAGTGGCGAATGGCGGTTGTTGTTGTGTGTGTGCGTGTGTGCGTGTGTGTGCATGTGTGTGTGTGCGTGCGTTTGCGTGTGCGCGTGTGTGTGTGCATGTATGTGTGTGCATGTGTGCGTGTGCGCGTGTGCGTGCGTGTGTGTGCGTGCGTGTGTGTGCGTGCGTGTGCGGTCACCCTGAACGCTGGCGTCCTCACCTCCTCCCCGCGTCTCTGGCTGAGTGCGGCGGTTCGGTTGGCAGGAGAGGACCATGAGCCCCCCACAGACAAAGACAGGCCCAGGGGTTTCCTACCAGCAGCCTGGGAGACCACAAACTGCGCAGTTACACACAGCACAACCACACACAGCCACACAGCACAGCTACACACAGCCACACACAGCACAGCTACACACAGCACAGCTACACACAGTACAGCTACACACAGCCACACACAGCACAGCTACACACAACCACACACAGCTACACACAGCACAGCCACACACAGCCACACACAGCACAGCTACACACAGCCACACACAGCTACACACAGCACAGTTACACACAGCCACACACAGCTACACACAGCTACACACAGCACAGCTACACACAGCACAACCACACACAGCACAACCACACACAGCCACATACAGCACAACCACACACAACACAACCACACACAGCCACACACAGCACAGCTACACACAGCACAACCACACACAGCCACACACAGCCACACACAGCACAGCTACACACAGCACAACCACACACAGCCACACACAGCACAGCTACACACAGCCATACACAGCACAGCTACTCACAGCCACACACAGGTACACACAGCACAGCCACACACAGCACAGCTACACACAGCACAGCACAGCTACATACAGCCACACACAGCACAGCTACACACAGCAACACAGTCACACACAGCACAGCTACACACAGCACAGCTACACACAGCTACACACAGCACAGCTACACACAGCCACAGTCACACACAGCACAGCTACACACAGCAGAGCTACACACAGCCACACACAGCTACACAGAGCACAGCTACGCACAGTCACATACAGCAAAGCCACACACAGCACAGCCACACACAGCTACACACAGCACAGCCACACACAGCACAGCTACACACAGCCACACACAGCACAACCACACACAGCTACACACAGCACAGCCACACACAGCACAGCTACACACAGCCACACACAGCACAACCACACACAGCCACACACAGCCACACACAGCACAGCTACACACAGCATAACCACACACAGCCACACACAGCACAGCTACACACAGCCATACACAGCACAGCTACACACAGCCACACACAGGTACACACAGCACAGCTACACACAGCAACACAGTCACACACAGCACAGCTACACACAGCAGAGCTACACACAGCCACACAGTCACACACAGCACAGCTACACACAGCAGAGCTACACACAGTCACACACAGCACAGCTACACACAGCAGAGCTACACACAGCCACACAGTCACACACAGCACAGCTACACACAGCACAGCTACGCACAGTCACATACAGCACAGCCACACACAGCACAGCCACACAGCCACACACAGCTACACACAGCACAGCTACACACAGCTACACACAACAACAACAACCGCCATTCGCCACTAAGTGGCGGTGACGTCACCACGACGCTTGTGCCAGGCTATGTGCACCCTGAGGCCACGTGAAGTGTGGAACGCCCGCTGGCAGGTCACGGGGCAGACCCAGGTGCCACGGGTCGACTGACTGAGATGACTGGCTGATGCACCACCTGTGCCCCCTACTGTGCCAACCTGCTGTGCTTCATTCACCCGGCGCTCCGCTCGTTGTTCTGAGCGTCGCTCCTCCGCCCTCCGTTGTTGTTGGAGGGCGACTACCTCCAACTGCCCAGTAGCATCCTTCACGAGCCTCCTCCACAGAGGTCGATCTTGACACCGCTGGTACCAGTCATCGGCAAGTCCACTCAGCTCCACGTCCTCCTGTACCACATCACTCCATCTTTTCTCTAGCCCGTGCCGCGCCCGCTTAGCCCCCTCAATCCGGCCGAACAAAAGCTGTTTCGGCATGCGGTGGCTGGGCATGCGGGCTACATAACCCAGCCATCGCAGCCTTGCCCGCCGGAGGAGCTCACCGATGGGACCTTGCCCAGATCTTTCAAGGTTTTTTGAGCTCCTCACACAATCCAGCCTGGTTAAACCCAGGATGGATCGTAGGCAGGCCAGCCTAAATGTTTCTAACCGGCGAAGATGTTCCATTAGGGGGGTCCACGTTTCGCAAGCGTAGAGAAGGGAGGGAATGACCGTGGCCGAGAAGACCTGAAGCTTAGTGCGGAGCGACAGACCAGGTAGCTTCCACACAGCGTTACGCAACCGATGAAAAGATATTGCCGCTCGACTGATTCGGAGTGAGACCTCTGCTGTTAAACTGGAGCCAGTCATAAGCACACTGCCCAGGTATGGGAAACTCTCCACTCTCTCCGCAACTGCCCCATCACCGATTGGGAGTTGTGGGGGTGGAGTGTCCGATGGTACAAAATACCCAGGCAGGTGCTTAGTTTTGGTGGGGCTGATGGTAAGGCCCCACCTCTTAGTGGCACGCTCCAGTCTCAGCAGCAGCATCTCCAACTCCTCCTCTGAATGAGCAGCTATTACCAAATCATCAGCATACATAACGTGGTTGAGCAATAGGGAGCCATCCCTTGACCGCACCCGGGCATCGATCAGCCTCCCATTATATCTGTACCATATGGAGATTCCCCCGGTACAGCTATTGAAGGCTTCACGAACTACGTGGTCAAAATAGATGTTAAATAATGTGGGAGCCAGAGGACATCCCTGTCGCACCCCAAGGTGTACAGGGAATGGCTCTGACTCCCGGCCATGTAGTTTTACCCGGCCCGCTCACCATCATGAAGGTCCTTAATGATCGTGAGCAGAGGGTCAGGTACTCCAAAAGCACGAAGAACGACCCAGAGCCCAGGCCTACTGATGGTATCATAGGCCTTGACCAGGTCAATAAAGCAGAGATGTAGGTCTTGTTGGAATTCCATACACCTCTGCTGTAGCAGACGGACAGAAAATATGGCATCTGTGCAGGACCACCCTTTCCTGAAACCGCATTGGGGCTCCGTAAGCCTCTCCTCAGCGTGCCTGGCAAGGCGATGCTGAATAATCCTTGCCAGGACCTTTCCCGGCACACTGAGGAGTGAGATGCCCCTGTAGTTGTTACAGTCTGTGCGGTCCCCCTTCTTAAAAAGGGGGACCACCAGGGCATCCTTCCAATCCTGCGGAACCCGTCCAGTGGTCCAGACTGTTGTTATGATGTCATATAGGGCAGTCTGTGCACAAACGCCACCCTCCCTCAGCATTTCGCTTTGGAGATCATCTCTGCCCGCTACCTTTCCTGGTCTCAGACACCGGATCGCCTTCAGTACTTCCTCAACAGATGACACCTCAGCCAACCACTCACAGGGGGTGACTTCTTCCAATATTTGAGGCACCGCAGCCTCAGCAGGGTCATCCTCACTTTGTGCCACGATGTTTTCCTGGCTGAGGGATTTTCCCTCCCCCAGGACCTCACAGAAATGCTCAGCAAATCTGCAAACCTGTTCCTGGGGGTCGGAGATTGGATCACCGTTTTTTCCCCTAATGATGGTAATAGGTGTGGCGCTGCAGGTTACTTTTTTGATGGAGTTAAATAGAGATTTGTGATCACGGGCCATTGAGGCAGACTCCATCTCCTCAGCAACCTGCGACCACCACCCATCCTTGCAGCGCCTCACGGCTCTCCGAACCTCCGAGCGAAGGCTGCGGTAAGTCTCCTCATTCTCTGACGTGGGATTCTGTAGCCGATGACAGTGGGCCTGTCGCTTTTTCTCAACCATCCTGAACACCTCCTCTGTCAGCCAGGGTCTCTGGGGAGGTCTGGACCGCATACCTAAAGCAGCCATTGCAGCTGCATGAGTCACAGTCCTAAACCTCGCCCATTTACCCTCGACATCAGGAGGAGTCGGGGACGATGCCAATCCCAGCCGCAAGCGATGATGAAATTCTCGCTTGCAACTTTCATCAGATAACTGAGACCAGGCCACTTTAGGTCGGAATGGGGTCCTGGGTGTACACCCACCACCGGAGTGGAAGAATGGCAGGCGCATCTTACAGATGACTAGTCGATGGTCAGAGGGCAGATCAGCTCCACGGTAGGTCCTGGTGTCAAGGACATGGGCTCGCATCCGCTGGTCCGTCACTATGTAGTCCAGCGGATGTTCTTGCTTGGACCCAGCATGGATCCATGATGTTGTGTGGATGCGCCGATGCCGGAACAGCGTGTTGGTAATTACAAGCCCATGGGCTGCACAAAAATCTAGCAGCCTCCTACCGTTGTTATTGAGTTGATCTGGCACATGCCCTCCAATCACTCCAGACCAGGTGCCAGTATCATGACCAACTCGGGCATTGAAGTCACCCAACATGATGACTCTATCCCGAGGGGCCACTTTAGCCAGCACCTGTGACAGGAGGTCATAGAAGGCATCTGACTCATCGGCTTTGCCTGCATCCCTCCACGGATGTTCATCTTCGGTGGGGGCATAAGTAACCACGACCACCATTCCTCGCCTCCGGTTGATGGGAAGGCGAGCCCAAAGTAGCCTGGGGCTTACAGCTTCCCACACCTCACCGCCACGCTCCCACGCCCCCTTCATTCTTTTGTTCAAAAGAAGAGCCACACCCTGTTGTTTGGCAGTCTGCTGCCCCGAGTAGAGGACTGTCCACCCCTCATGGTGGCAGGAGCCAGAGCCGGTCCACCGGACCTCCTGAATGCCGCATAGATCCAGGCAGTACCGGTCCAGCTCCCGACAGCTACACACAGCACAGCTACACACAGCCACACACAGCCACACACAGCCACACACAGCACAGCTACACACAGCACAGTTACACACAGCACAACTACACACAGTCACACACAGCACAGCTACACACAGCCACACACATAGTCACACACAGTCACACACGGCACAGCTACACACAGCCACACACAGTCACACTCAGCACAGCTACACACAGCACAGCTACACAGTCACACACAGCACAGCCACACAGCACAGCCACACACAGCACAGCCACACACAGCACAGCCACACACAGCTACACACAGCCACACACAGCCACACACAGCACAGCTACACAGTCACACACAGCACAGCCACACAGCCACACACAGCTACACACAGCACAGCTACACACAGCCACACACAGCCACACACAGTCACACACAGCAC